GAGACCTAATTCGACCTAAAGATTCTTACTATCTACGCCGACGGCGAGACCGCCCTACTACTAGACCTTTCTGCTGAGGTTAGAGCTCGTGGTCTGAACCTAGAGCTATCTCCTCCTTACTAACTATCTTAAAATCCCTTTGCCGAGCGCTATAGGGCGCTTATAACCGCGATAGCTAGGTAGATAACCTAGGGTACTAGCTGTTACGCGTAGCCGACCGGTCACTGTGAGTAAGTGCAGAAAGGACAATAGTTACCTAAGTTGTTGTTGTAATCGGGTACAATAACGATATGTGCTGTCACGGCTGATTCCGGTCCTCTCGGCACAACTTCGAATTCCAAGAGTATCTCTCAATCGTACCGTTGCCTCGCAAGGCCTTACTGCGGGATAGATCCTGTTAAGTATCTTGCAGAACGTGCCAGAAGTGCGCGCCAAGTAAGTCAATCACCAAGTATTGCTACTAAGTGAATCCCCTACTTGTAGGTTGGGTTGTCTTAAAGGTGAACTGTGAAGTGCAAAGTACTAAAGGTAGTAACCAAGTAACAATGTGTANCGAGGGGCCACCGACTGACCGCCGGATGGCTACCGCCTTAGCAGAACCCTCGGTCCACGCATACCTAAGGCCCTAATATCAGTGTGTGAATAGTCTTATCGAAATATCATAATATAAACGATCTAGCTTATCTAAATAAATTACGGATATATTAAAGAAGGTAAGTTCCTATTATTCTAGATACTTTTAAGTTAATTCTAATTAGAAAGTTTAAGATCCGAGGTCTAGTATTCTTTATTAATATAAGCCTATAATACCGGGAGGTATTTATAGCTCTATAAACTAAGAAGTCTCCTTTAATCCCTATTTAGGATATCTAAACGCGATAGAACTTAAGCTTTATAATACTTAATCGGGCTAAAAGACTATAGCCATTCTACGATTAGTATTATATAGATTATTAATATCTCTACTTTAAACTTAATCACGAAGAGTAACGGTAGATTAAATATCTTCTTCTTCTTATAAAGCCTTTCTTTAACTTTACTAATATATTATTAAAGACTAGAGATATTACTATATATAATATCTATAGTATTTATAATAAGCTTTTCTCTTATCTTAATAAAGCTAAGAGTAAGTTAAAGAATAAAGGAGTTATCTAGAAGAAGCGTATACTCTAGGCTCTTTAGACTATAAAAAGGAAGCTCTTAAAGTATTATACTACTACTAATTATAAATTATATAGCGATATTTATACACTAGTAACGATTCTTTACCTATTAAAGAAACTTCGATATTTTATATTAATAGACTAGTAAGGTAAAATTAACTACGTAAAACACTATTATAGAGTCCTTAAGTAAGAGTTTTATTAATATAAAGAGATACTTCGCCGTAATTTAGATACTATAGTCTTATAAGATATCACTAGAGAGGCCCTAGATAACGATAATTATAATCTCGATACTACTTATACTTCTTAAAATCAGCTATAGGAAGAGCTCTTAAAGTCTAAAGACGACGAGATTACGAGGTATCTTACCCGGGGAATTAAGAGATAGAAGCCCCGAGTATTCTAGAAAGAGTATAAGTATAAGTTCCCTATTCTTATAAGGATAGTACGGGATATTCTCTCGATCCTAGCTAGTAGCGTAGGCGTTAAGCGATTATTTAATTACGCTCGTGATATCTACTACTATCGTCGTGGTTAATTAAAACTAAGTACGATCCGAGAACTAATACTTTATTAGTTCGCTACTAACTTTAAGGTTAAGCAGAAGGAGATAGAGGTTATTAAGAAGCATCTTTTTACCGAGGAAGCCGTATTATTAGATTAAACTCGGAAACTAATACCCTAGCTTAAAACTCTTAAGCTAATTAGTGATAACGAAGAGGAAGATCAAGAGCTTAGTATTAAGGATATATAACTAATAGAAAGCTACGATAAGAATTTAGATAGTAGGAGGGCTAATAGAAGTAAGTAACTATAGTATAAACGATTAAAGAGACGATTATCTAAGGTATTTAATAACGATAATAATAGCCTTCTAGAAATACCAATACATAAGGGCATATAAGGACGGTCGGGGCGGATTCGGAAGTAACTAAGGTTACCTAACGGATTTCAGATTAATTTAAGATAGACCATATAGTGTAAAGATAATAATATCATATCTACGAAATTAAAACCTTCGATAATTAATTATTACACTATGATTACTTGAAAAATACAAAGGAGTCCGCATAAGTAATGTATACTCAAAAAGGTCACGAGGCTGGGCATGTTTAGCATCTTTGATATCCACTGGATATCCTTAAATATCCAGAGGATATCGGGTGCTATACCATATCCATAAATTTAAGGATTAAGGATGTTCGGTGACATACCATATCCACAGTTTGCGGAGAGGATATGCGGATATCCATGGATATTGAGGATGTTGCCGTAGTCTAACTCTTATAAAGCACCCGCTTATTAGCTAGAGATATTATTGGCGGACTTAAGAGTAATCTAGGTACTAAGCCCTCTAATACGTAAATATTAGTAATAACACTAACTTTAATAGTTACCCTTACTCTTGCTAGTCGTCTAGATAGACTTCTATTAGTAATCAATATCGCCGGGGCCTTTATACGTAAGACTAGAACTAGCGCCACCGAGTACTTGTAGTACTACTAAGAAACTTGGTCCGCGTTATAGCTATAGTTAAATCCGTAACGCCAGTATTAATAGGGTAATTTGCTATAAATATAGATGATCTTATACTATAAGATCCAGAAGCGGGACCCGTACGTAGCGAAGTTGATCCTTTTACTCGCTTACTTCGATAATCGAGATATCTAGTATGAATTGATAAAAAGCGGTTATAATAGCTTAGATGTTCCCGTCTGGCTTAAAAGGACGATATTAAGCGGACTCGTATTTAGAACCGCTATTAAGAATCTCATCGGCTTCTCTCTACTTAAGTCTAAGGAATATGTTATGATATTTCGATGAGACTATTCACACACTGATATTGGGGCCTCAGGCATGCGTGGACCGAGGGTTCTGCCAAGGCGGTAGCCATCCGGCGGTCAGTCGGTGGCCCCTCGGCCGCGATACGCGACAGCCACGCTGCATACAGGCCGCACCCACAGTATGTGCCATGCGTTGGCCATGCGGTGGCCTTTCGCCATGGTGTCCCCCTTACTTCGTGTTTGATTCCTGTTTGCACAAAAGATGATGTATTTAAACAGATGCTTGAGGAAGTGGGATTCATCTCCTCAAGAAACAGTCTTTGTCTCAATCTGACTTGGTGCTTTCCTCTCCTACCTAGTTGACAGGCCATCTACCCTGTAAAGTAGATACTTCCTTNAGGTCACGAGGCTGGGCATGTTTAGCATCTTTGATATCCACTGGATATCCTTAAATATCCAGAGGATATCGGGTGCTATACCATATCCATAAATTTAAGGATTAAGGATGTTCGGTGACATACCATATCCACAGTTTGCGGAGAGGATATGCGGATATCCATGGATATTGAGGATGTTGCCGTAGTCTAACTCTTATAAAGCACCCGCTTATTAGCTAGAGATATTATTGGCGGACTTAAGAGTAATCTAGGTACTAAGCCCTCTAATACGTAAATATTAGTAATAACACTAACTTTAATAGTTACCCTTACTCTTGCTAGTCGTCTAGATAGACTTCTATTAGTAATCAATATCGCCGGGGCCTTTATACGTAAGACTAGAACTAGCGCCACCGAGTACTTGTAGTACTACTAAGAAACTTGGTCCGCGTTATAGCTATAGTTAAATCCGTAACGCCAGTATTAATAGGGTAATTTGCTATAAATATAGATGATCTTATACTATAAGATCCAGAAGCGGGACCCGTACGTAGCGAAGTTGATCCTTTTACTCGCTTACTTCGATAATCGAGATATCTAGTATGAATTGATAAAAAGCGGTTATAATAGCTTAGATGTTCCCGTCTGGCTTAAAAGGACGATATTAAGCGGACTCGTATTTAGAACCGCTATTAAGAATCTCATCGGCTTCTCTCTACTTAAGTCTAAGGAATATGTTATGATATTTCGATGAGACTATTCACACACTGATATTGGGGCCTCAGGCATGCGTGGACCGAGGGTTCTGCCAAGGCGGTAGCCATCCGGCGGTCAGTCGGTGGCCCCTCGGCCGCGATACGCGACAGCCACGCTGCATACAGGCCGCACCCACAGTATGTGCCATGCGTTGGCCATGCGGTGGCCTTTCGCCATGGTGTCCCCCTTACTTCGTGTTTGATTCCTGTTTGCACAAAAGATGATGTATTTAAACAGATGCTTGAGGAAGTGGGATTCATCTCCTCAAGAAACAGTCTTTGTCTCAATCTGACTTGGTGCTTTCCTCTCCTACCTAGTTGACAGGCCATCTACCCTGTAAAGTAGATACTTCCTTAACAGAATAAGTCGGAAGCTATACAATATACCCGGTAGTGTAAGACTAGTGTATTTATCTTTCTAGCACGGATAAGAGTGTGGATTCGACCTAGCTTAATAAACTTGTACTGATATCTGTTGGCTATAGTGTCCTAAGCTTAAGTGACAGAAATTATTCCGAGTTATAGTAACGGCTTATTCTACACGTAAATTATATACGTTATATAGACTGGTTAAGTGGTAATATGGATATTACGGTGTGGAAAGTATTTAATGGTTTAGGGAATCTCTATTTTAATTAGGGGAAGCTAAAGGAGGTAGAGGAGATGTACCGGCGAGCCTTAGTAGGCTGCGAGAAGGCCCTCGGTTTAAATTATATATCCACTCTGAATATAGTCAATAATATTGGGGGTCTTTACAGAGATTAGGGGAAGCTAAAAGAGGTAGAGGAGATGTACTAGCGAGCCCTGGTAGGTAAGGAGAAGGCCCTTGGTTCAGATCATACGTCTACTCTAAGTACAGTTAATAACCTTAGTCTTCTCTACTCTAATTAGGGGAAGCTGAAGGAGGCAGAGGAGATGTACCAGCGAGCTCTAGTAGGCTATGAGAAGGCCCTCGGTCCCGATCATACGTCCACTCTGGATACAGTCAACAACCTTAGTCTTCTCTACCCTAATCAGGGGAAGCTGAAGGAGGCAGAGGAGATGTACCAGCGAGCCCTAGTAGGCTACGAGAAGGCCTTCGGTCCCGATCATACGTCCACTATGAGTATAGTCAACAACCTTAGTCTACTCTACTCTGATTAGGGGAAGCTGAAGGAGGTAGAGGAGATGTTCCAGCGAGCCCTAATAGGCTACGAGAAGTCCCTCGGTCCCGATTATACGTCCACTCTGGATACAGTCACCAACCTTGGTCTTCTCTACTCTGATCATGGGAAGCTAAAGGAGGCAGAGGAGATGTACCATCGAGCCCTGGTAGGCTACGAGGAGGCCCTAGGTCCAGATCACCGTCAAACACAGCAGGTTTTGGAGAGATTAAATGCGTTAAGCATCATGAATCGAATATAGTCTATCACTGTACCCTGCCTGAAAGTAGCACATAGTTCCTTTGGTTTAGCGTAGTTGGCTCAGTACACGGTTTCTCTTCGTTTGACTCGAAAACACACTGACCGTCTACATACGCATCAACAGAAAGATATTCACGTTCTGATCTGTCTGATCCAGAAATGATGGCTGACGGGAGTTTTAGGGGCGAGCTGACATTGATGAATAACGGTCATCTGCCAGAGTGGGCACCAACCGAGACGACAAAGTCGGTCATTATTGGACAATAGATGGGGCTAACTCAGAGGAAGTCAAGGGTGGGCCGAGGCTCTATTCGTCAGCTGGACTTCCAAGGCGTTTCGCCTTGAGTGCAGAATGACATTATTCATTATAGACTTCCAGTGACTCGGGCCTCTGGCTCCTGCTCAATAGCATAGAATCTCGCTTTCTTATACGCGACCGTTCCTACCCATTTATTCAAGGATATGTAGAAAAATGCTATGAACATGATACCAGTAGCGACCCGTCAGCAGTTCCCCGACTACACTATGTACGTAATATGAGCAGGATATTCAATGTTCCCCTTGTTTTCTTGAAAAAACGGTCTTTTCAGGATTCGAGCAGTTGAAAATAATCAGTAATTAGCCTTGGTCCCAGAAAGCCGAAGCACCCAGTGGGCTCGTGGTGTCGCAGTTTCAAACCGCAAAACAACGTGTCCAGACAACCTTATTCAAAACTTTGCTCTTCCTGTCATTTCATGGGAGGCAACGCTGCTGAAAAGGGTAGTCGCTGCAGGACATATAACCCTTTCGCTCTGACCTCGCCTGAGATTTCCAGTTCCTTGGTCCTTGGGCTTCGTACTATAGCGAACCTGAGAGATGGAAGCAGACTGCACTCGTCATGACGGAAATTGCTGGTTGGGGGAAACTCAGTTAGACAACAATAAATTTTGAATTTCCCAATACTAGAATTGATTTTGCACGCTCGCTTCTAATTGCTCATGCTCTTCGCACGATTCTGCTTGTATCCAAAGGGGCAGGGAAAGGACGGTACTGTAGGAGGAATGCACTGGAAAGACTTTCCGTAGCTTGAAAGATTGTGGCAGTGGTGGCGGTGAAGAGTGTGCCCGGAGAGTACCGGTCGGGTCGGGATAACCTTGGGACCCTTGGAAGGTTATTCACTGATTACATGAGAATGTTTGCCTTATTCCAGCCTGATCTCCTGAAAATTTAGGTATTAATACTGGCGTGGCCGCTATTGATCGCGGAGTTTATTTATCCCACACCCAATCTGCCGCTTACCATCATCCATCAATCTTACCATCTTCATCATGTCACAGGTCCAACCGACAAGATGGCTTCCATCCTACCTGGCCACTCTCTATCGCTGGCTTAAATGGACAGAACCAACCTGGGGCTTCACAATTTACCGCACAACCTACACCCCGCGATCTGAAGCTGCTTTCCCCGCGATAGTCGACTTGATCACGGCATACGTCAAGGAAGACTTTTACAAGGACCATAAAACTCTGCTCGAGGACAGTCCTAGTGCAAATAAAGTCGATATAACTATCTTCGATGAAATGTGGGCTAAGTACCAGCCACGTGTCATTGAAGATGCCGCCCAGTTCGATGGAGCATCGATTGAACAGGTCCGGTCTCACTTTGAAGCCTGGGCGAATGAGCGGCATATGGCCGATAGGTTTCCCAGTTACCGAATGTTCATCGTTATCGATGAAGAGAGTCTTCAGTCCTTACAAGACACTCCAATTCCCGAGGAATGTTTTCCTGGATCGAAACACTGGCTCGGTCACTATGTGAAGCTTGTTGAGGCGTGGCAAGAGCCGGAACACCCATTTATGGGCTGGATGAAATGTTCTCTGAGGGGGCTTTGGGACGTGTGGCGGAATATGCAGGATGGGGATTACATGCGAAAAAGCTATGTGCTGATTTGTAAATACCGTGACGTTTATTGAGCTTCCTTTTTCGGGTCTTCCGCTTAAGAATTGCTATTATTATTATTTCCAAGATCACCCGATGACCAAATGGATAGTTTTCGGTTCGGAGAAGAAGCTGTGGCTGTCTCGTATCACGTAGTGGCTCCCAAGTGCAATCGCCCTGGGAAAACCAATAAAATATCATTTCCAACAGATTGCGTCTATCTCGTCATATCTTCTATTTTATTCTGGCCCAGTATTAACCGATACATATCTGAATATTTATATAAGTCTGATCTAAGTGTAATAGAATTAATAGCCAGGTACAGAGTTTGTTCCGGCAAATTGCATACCACCAGTCTCAACCACCACATTGACATCACCTACGCACACCTTGCAAATCAATGTCCATATCTGATGCAAGACTCTTATACCTAGCCAAGACCTCCATAACATATACGGCATCCTGTCCTGTTCTCACAGCCCATATATTCCTCATCCTAGTCACCCAGTTACTGACCCAGTCTCTGCTCCGCCTCCCAATATTCAAGAGATGATCTCGGATCCATTGATCCCACCAATCCTGGCCTCGAGGGTTATAATGACCCTGTGAGATCCATTCTTGATCGGCTAAACCAATCTCTGTGCGCACTTCGTTTATAGTGTTGATCAAGTGAGGATGCACTTTGGGGTGATTGAGATAATGGATGACGGAGATGACTGATCGGATATTTTGCAAAGCCGGTAGATAGTCATCAAGCGCTATCCAATTCCTCATGTCATTGTCATTGTAGAACGCGACATTACGCCACATCTGTAAAAGGTATCAGTCATCAGTGGGGCCAATAGCAAGTGGATTCTCGGATATCGTACCCGAGATTTCACCCCATTCAAGGCTGCAATAAGAACAAGGAAGTCCTGGTTATTTCGATTGCTTCCAAGAGCATTCATAATTCTCACAAACGGAGTTGATGATGCCCGGCCACCTGCCATTGGAGGCGCATTGAGTAGCATTGGGGTACTAAGCGCCTGAAAGTAATCATTATCGAGTGGGAGGTTTCTTGGGTCAGACCTAGAGGGTAAAACTCCCTCGAGAGCGTCTCCAAAGAAATCTCGAATAGTATTCAACTCGACAACATGTTCCACTTCACTTGGTCAGCATAGATCTTGTGAGCCAAAGCACGAAATGCTGATGGAAACCGCAACCTCCTTCAATCCGGGACAATCTTACCATCATACTCATTCCTGTCGCTTGGGACGGTGACCATTACAGTCCCAATATCTACATCCAGGCAATCGTCATCGTCTTCATATCCAAATGCCTCGGTCCAGATAGGATGGTTTATGTTCCAATCACCTCTGCTTGGATACTATGATTCTGTTAGTCTGTGATAACAAGTTGAAGAAAGGCATTGGGACATACACGCAAAGAGCGCCACTCAACAGTCACAGCATTACTCAGTGTTAAGGAGAAGGGTCGCGGGCCTGCTCTCTTAACCAAGCTTCTTGTCGTAAGATCTTCTACCTCGGGCCCATCAAGATCCTCTCCAGCACAGAGGCCAGGATCGTCAGAGGTACAGCAACTTGTCCGTTCGCAGGCGCAGCTGATGGAACCTTTGCCCTCCAGCTTGGCGTTGAATATCGCCATGTTGCAAATCATCATATCAGCATAGATTTCCGAACCCTGCCGTCTCCATTCAAGATCTTTATTCAGCCGCTTGCGGAGAGTTTCAATTTTGAAATTGGGGAACGCGGGGACCACGTAGTCGTTCCAAATCTCCCGGGCCGCCGCGGTTGCGACGTAGGTGAAAGCGATATCCAGTATCAGTTGATGCATCGCATCATACGGTTTGGTGTCAAAGCGGCGCTGAAGCGACGACGAGTGATTAAAAAGTTCGGAAGAGAGGCCCACGAACTTAATGCTTTCCAAGTCGCGTTTGAATTGATAAGCATCGAGACCGCAGTCTGGGTCCGCCATGAATGCCTTCACGTTCTTTTCCAATGCACTTTCTGCGTCGGTGTAGGATCGCTTGCTTTTCGTGATGAATTTGGGCAGGCAGCACTTGGATCTTCCACCATCGCCTTTACAGCCACCTCCGTGTTGGTCCATCGCGACACGTACTCGGTCATTGGGACAACCGCTGTGGCAGTAACCCTCCACCACACCGTCGGCAGCTGCGAAACCGACATCAGTCCTCCATTCGCAATCGTCCCATTTATTGTTGTCGTCGTCGTCACAGCAGTATTTCCGCTCCTGCCATTCAGTGCCCTCATTGCCAGTCAAGGTATATTTGACCTTTTTCGCGTAGCAGTAATTGCCACCGCTGCCCGTGGTTGAATTCAACAAATTGGTCTGGCCGCTCTTACACTCGCCCTTGTCACAATCTGGTGCCTTGCCTGCCCAGCTACATTGCGAGTACAGCTTCATGCTGTCCGTGTCCGTGGTACAACAGGCCGCCTGATAATCATTCTTGTTGTTACTGCAATATTGGAAATTTGACCCAACTTCCACATACCCTGATGGGCATTGCGAGTCACAGTTTCCATTGTTATGGGTATACCAGCCACACGTGGGCAGCTCAGAGTCTGGAGGACAGCAGAACGTATGAGAGCCACTCCCACCGCAGCCTGTTGAATCCCACATTTTCTCATCAGTCCGAGCCCCAGGGTCCGTCCGATCGATACGCGACCATCCCTTCGGGCAATCCTCAAAGCAGTTGGTCCATTTGCATTGGAGATGGGTCTTTGTGACTTCAAGCGAATCACTTTGCTTGTCAAATTGCAGCGATGTGACTTTTCGCCCGATGATTTCCCCTAGCACACGTGAGAAATTTCCAAATGGAAGATCATGGGAGACTGCCCAGACCATAACACCACCGAGACATTCGGAGCGCGCGAAATCAGTCTTCAGCTTAAAGGTATCTCCATTGTCATACGTCAGCCATTGATTCGTGTTGAATTTGAGGATGTTGACAGCGGCTTCCTTGTCAAACGCGGAGGAAAGCTGTTGCTCGTCCATGATATCCATGATTTCCGAGTTTAGCATGATGCCAACTTCGTCACTACACACCCCGGGGTTTCCGCCAGATACAAAGGGACATCCAGGATTCATGCAAGCAGGGTCTGTAGCCGAGAACACGCGGCCGTAGAAGGCCAGTCCGAGAACGACTTTGTCAGACGGGACGTTGTTGCGCCAGATGAGATCAAGAGCATTGGTGATCTCCGTCAAATTAGTATGGGAGTTCAGAACGGGATCAAGCCACTCATTCCCCAAATCCCATTTCCCGTGGAGGTCGTAGGACATGATGTTCAAAAAGTCCACGTGTTTGGCCAGATTTTCAAGGTCAAAGTGTTGGAGATACCAGTATGATGCAGGCAGAGTCATACTGATTCCATTTCGGCCAGTATCACTGAGCGCATTCTTGAGATTGTTGAGGAACTTGGGGAAATTTTCAAAGTCCTCTTGGCGTCCGCCACGGTCATCCGCGACTGGATACTCCCAATCTAGATCAATGCCATCAAAGTCATATTCCGTCAGGAATGTCTTCAATGAGTTGAAGAATTTCCTCTGATTAGTCACCGAGCGTGCAATGTCGGAGAAGACTGTTCGAGTTGCTCCGGGATCATTGAAGGTCCACCCTCCAATGGCAATGAAAACCTTGAGATCGGGGTCAGAGCTTTTGAGGTTGGTCAATCTCTTCATAAGGGTCTTCTCATACTCGCTAGGAGCTAGAACCTCGAAGGTTTCAGGGTCAACTGAAGCAAAGGCATAGTTGAGATGTGTATAGACTCCGAGCGGGATCTGGTCAGGATAGAAGATATGGCAGGGACGTTGAACGCTCCATCCTTCATAGTAGCCAACAACTCGGCTCAATTCCTGGGTCTTTGAGCAAGAAGGACGATCGACATTCTTGTTACCACAAAATTCTTTAGTGACCCCACAGAACCCGAATTTGGAGCAGCAGACATTCAACGGACATTTCTTGGCCTCTGCATAATCACCATAGTCTCCAGGGTCACATTCAGACTTCCTTTCACAGTTTGCGACACAAATTTCATTTGCACAGACTAATAAGGTGATATTAGACAAGTCGTGGACCAAACCTCTGAAGAGAAAAGCTTACAGTCGGGTCCTAAGCCGCAAAATCCAAATTTGTTACAGCACCCTTTGGCGCAGGGTTTCGAAACAGAGCACTCCGGTTCGTAATCGCAGTTGGCAACACAATCGACTCCGCAGTAGTCATCTCCAACGCCACAATAACCGCCTTTATTGCAACAGCCAGTGGCACAAGGAGCGATGGGGCTGCAGTCTTGAGCTTGAGCTGTCCGACATGATAATAGCAAGCAAGAAAGGAAAAAGAGCCAAAGGAGACTCCTTTTGGAGTCAATAACTCTCATGTTGCTCAGTGTTTCTTTCTCAGTGAGCTCAGTCTTCCGCTCTCCTGCTTCTCTACTACTTAAATCTCTTCCAGACTTGGGTGTCTGGTAGTCCAGCGCTATTAGACCTAGCCAAGACTTTCCTTCGTCCTAGCGTGAGGTATTAATTTCCTCATTTTGATCCGCTCAACAGTATTTTGGCGCGTTTAAATGTTGAGATGTAACCATACGGAGGCTTTCGGACACAAATAGTCATGTAACTTCCCAAATTCTGCGAATATACGCTAAGAAAAAGTCGCGGTATAGTCTTTGTACGTTTGTATCTCTTGGCACTCTTGGCACTTCTGGCGCCGGTTAATCCGGTGGTTACCTTGGCAATTCATGGTCCTATGATCGTCCTCAGCCCGATTGGATTTGAGGAATCCACATGATCACGGTATAGATAAGAATACTTTAACTGGTATTATTACTTTGTAAAGGCTTGTTTTTCATTGGCATCTTGGCCAGACAAACTCAAGCCGTGATCCCAACAACCGGCCTTTGTCTCTGTCGGCGGTCGGCGACTTAGCACATGTGGATGGATAATGGTATCGCCCCTTACTAGCTTCTACTAGTCGCATCTGCGTAGGGGCCCTGGAAAATGTCATTTCGCTTAGTTCGTGCCGGAGATACAAAAAGGGACAAGCTAAGATGGAGCCCGAGACACTAAGAAGGCTAATGTACTGTAAGTCGGTGTTGAGCCTCCGGTTGGTTGGCCATGGGTCCTATTCTCTGCTTTGATTGGGTCGGTGAAAGGAAGACCCTGAACTAGGTCCAACTAGGGTCTCTTGGCATCAACATCGCCTTCGGAAGCTTTCCTTGGCGAAATTCAACTGTGAAAGGTTGTGTTGTATCGACAGTCCCGGGGGGGGCGGGGATTGTGTGGCGGGCTCCGGCCGAGGTGAGATGGATTTATGGACAAGTATCCCCATTTTCTTTGGAAAAAGCTTTGATTTGAGGTATGCCAGAGGAGTTCTTTGAAAATGAGATTGGGCGGACGATCCAAATTCGCCGATCAAGGCTTGTTGCCGCTGATCGTCGTGCTAATCATTACAATAACCTTCTGGGTCCCAGTGCGGGCCGACCATAGCCACGTTCATCATCGGCATCTTCACCACAAGCGTGACAATCATAAGAACACAACCGATGATAATGATGCATTGACACTGGTGAGAAATGCGCTTGCGGTCCTCAGTGAAGTCAACAAACATCGAACCGAAAACCCAAATTTCAACCAGAATACCTTTTCCGAGTATCGCAATGGAACAAGAGAGCCCGCGCAGCCTTTGGACTACAGCTCTGGGGCTGCAAAGACCGCCAGTCTTCAGGCGAGAGATAGTTCTTCCAACCAAACGAGCGGAAATCGTCCCTATCTAATCCCACCGGAGCTAGCGAAGGCGGCTCGCATTGTCGCTGAATCTACCGTCAACAAACCGACGGGGGATCAGCCCCAAATTGCTGCAGGAATCAGAGAGAAATACGGCAACGGCCGAAGGCATACAAACACTCCTCCACAAGCTTTGGTCAGGTCGAATGGTTTATACGACTATCTGGCATTTGGAAGTGGCGGCGAAACTAGCGACATATACGACAACAAGACCATCCAGACGAAAGTAAACAAGCGAGACGGCGCGTCCGAGTATTGGATGGCTATGATCAATCAGAATGGTCAAAGTCCGTTTGCACCAAGTGGCTACAAGGTACATTATTCCACCTTCCATCTGTTCTACCCCTCGAGTTCAAAGATCTGGGCTAATGAGAGTACCTAGGTCTGGAGAAATGTGCGAGACTACGGTGCTGTTGGGGATGGAGTCACAGATGATACAGAGGCCATCAATCGGGCTATTTCAGATGGAGGAAGATGTGGTGTCAACTGTGGTTCCAGCACTATCTATCCCGCCACAGTTTGGTTCCCTGGGGGCACGTACCTTGTCAGCTCACCAATAATCCAATACTACAATACGGAGTTTCTGGGAGATGTAAGTGGAGTCACTGTTCTTCAATACTTATAGATTTCCTCTAACAACCCCCTAGCCTCTCAATGTGCCAACCATCCTTGCAGCCTCTAGCTTCGTCGGGTTGGGTGTTATAACATCCGATGTCTACGTTAGCGATGACGGGGAATGGTATGTCAATCAGAACAACTTCTTGAGGAGCGTCCGGAATTTCAAGATCGACATTCGCCCGACAGACCCTTCAGCCTATATTTGCGCCATTCACTGGCAAGTTGCTCAAGGAACCTCCCTCGAGAATATTGAATTTTACATGCTTTATAACTCCGATGTTCCTAGCAACACGCAACAAGGAATTTATATGGAGAATGGCTCCGGTGGCTTCCTTGCAGACCTCACTTTCGTGGGAGGCAACTTTGGGTAACTAAAGCTTTTTGCCCCCGACGTCTTGCTGCACGGTCCTCTAATTCGACAATAGTGCCTATTTTGGGAATCAGCAGTTCACTTCAAGTCAGCTCGTCTTTGTTCGGTGCAATACAGCTCTTCAGGTTCACTGGGACTGGGCATGGACTATGCAGGACTATGTTATTGAGTCGTGTACAAACGGGTTGACTATCATTGGAGGAGTATGTTCAGTTGTTTCTGAGCCCATTCTCTTGGTGAATCCTAAGCTGATCATTATTAGGCTGGTGGCTCCGGTAGTACCGGACAAGGTGTTGGCTCTCTGGTCCTGGCCGATGCTATTATTGCAAATACACCCAATGGCATTATAACGTCTCTCTACGCCGAGAATTCAACATCTCTCTTCCTGAAAAATGTGGGATTCTTCAATGTCAAAACCGCCATCATAGACTCTGTCAGAGAACAAGTCCTCCTGGAGGGAGGAAATGAAGTCCTCAAAGATGCCTGGGGCTTTGGTATGGTCACTGATGCGGGGGGCCAGGGATCCTTTGTCTCTGGCCAAGACATCATTACAGGGAACATGGATGACCCAATGCTGGGAGCTCAAGCTTATGTCAAGTCCAATCTCTTTACACGTCGCCGACCTCAATACGAAACTATCAAGGCAGGCGACATCGTCAATGTCAAAGACTTTGGCGCAAAGGGTGATGGAACTACTTATGACACAGTGGTACTCAATAACATCCTCTCCTATGCCGCCAACCTTTCTTCAGTTGTGTACTTCCCTTTCGGTGTTTACAAAATTCACGATACGCTGAGAGTCCCGGTCGGCTCGCGTATCATCGGGCAGGCTTGGTCACAGATCATGGCGACTGGCGAGCAATTTAGCGATGTTGAGAATCCCCACGTAGCTGTTCAGGTGGGAGCCAAAGGCGATATTGGCATAGTTGAGATTCAGGATATGCTTTTCACTGTTTCTGGACCTACGGCTGGTGTTGTTCTCGTGGAATGGAACGTTGAGCAGTCCGTCAAAGGATCTGCTGCAATGTGGGACTCTCATATTCGCATTGGCGGAGCCATCGGGTCCCAGCTGCAAAAGACCCAATGCCCAAAACAGTCAGGCAAGGTCAACCCTGACTGTATTGCTGCCTCTCTCCTTCTTCATCTAACACCCTCATCAACGGCGTACATGGAGAACATATGGGTCTGGGTCGCAGATCACGATCTGGACGTGAGCACGCAGGACCAAATTGATGTCTACGCAGCCCGTGGTATCCTGATTGAGAGTCAACTCGCATGGCTGTATGGTACTACCTCAGAGCATTCCACCCTTTATCAGTACCAAATTTCCGGTGCGAGGAGGATTGTCATGGGAATGATCCAAACAGAGTCGCCGTACTACCAGCCTGTTCCTCTGGCCCCTGCTCCATTTACACCAGGAAAATTCCCTCATGATCCCACATTCACTAACTGTGATTCGGACCCTATCTCATGTGCTGTCTCCTGGGCCCTCCGTATTGTTGATTCCTCCAGTATCTGGATACTGGGCAGTGGTCTCTACAGCTGGTACTCAGACTACTCACAGACGTGTCTCAACACCAACAGCTGCCAGCAGAGGGCCTTCGAAATCGAGCAAAGTGTTGATCTTTGGATTTATAACCTATGTACCAGAGCAATCGTGGAAATGGTCACTCCTTTCCAAGGTGTCCCCACTTATGCCAAGGATAATATCAATGGTCTCCTTTCATCAATCCTCGTTTGGATTGGTGGAGTAGATACGACTATTGGCGAACGGAAGTTCCCTGGCTGGTCCATGTACACATCTGACAGTCTCGAAAATCTTGATCTTCCGGATTCTTGCAAGACATCGCTGGTCGCAACGATCAAATGTGACTCTTTTGCACAAAGCATGATGTCCCGCTCTTGGCATGGATCTCTCGGCAACGACACCCTGACCGAACTTTTATGCGATGCTAGCTGTGGCGAAAGCTTAAATGAATGGTTCACATTGGTACAACACAACTGTGCCGGGTACAAAATAAATGGCTCTCCCCCAGAGTTATATGGTGGTCGGGTGTGGGCTGGATACAACGAAACGTGTATCAAGGACTCAGGCTCGGACAAATACTGCAACGGTGCGTGACCATTACTCAATTTTGCTGTCTTTCGTATCTTCACAAGACTGAACCTCAACCACCTGGCCTCTAACAACTCCTATGAGAGGCCAAGGCTTGAGTAAATCACGTCATGAAAGTCTTGGATCCCAATTTCTGACTCGGCTGACTGACTTTCATTTTCTTCAGCTATAATCGATAGCTTTACTCTGGTTCAAAGCACCGAGGAAATGCCCGAAAGCGAGATTTGTTCCTACTGCTACACGACCCGTCTTCAAATGATGCAACGAACACCCTATTCCATGTATGATGACTATTATCAGGGAGTCTTGGAAACTATCAACAAACGCTGTGGCCTCTCTGGACCGACCGACATTCTCGAGATCCCTTGGGCCACGATCGACGAAGAATCAGACTTCTGCCTTTCGGAGAATTTATACACAACGGTGACCGGTGACAGTTGTACCTCCATCGCAGAAGCCAACAGTATCTCCTCTGCGTCGCTATACATGGGCAATCAGAAGCAAATTCTGAGTTGCGGCTCAATGAGAGCGGGCCTCAAACTGTGCCTCCCCCCAACATGCGAAGCCACATACTCCCTCGAACCGTCGGATAACTGCACAGCAATTGAAACAGCCTTTTCACTTTCGAATGGAGATCTTCGTAAATATAACCCATGGATATCGTTCGACTGTGACAACTTGCAGGTTGCGAGCAAAATCTACGGCAAGAATCTTTGTTTATCACCGCCCGGCGGTACGCACACAAATTCAACCGCTGGTACAGGGTCAACTACTCCTGCAAAGGCAAACGGATATGTCTATAACTATATTGCACCGCCAGCAAACGCCTCCTTGGCTGAGGGTACAACCCAGAATTGTGGCCGCTGGCATGAGGCTGCGGCCAATGAGACCTGTGTTGGGATTTGTGGACTGGAGAGCATCACGCATGCTTTGTTCGTCATGGTCAACCCATCTTTGGATAGTGCTCATTGCTCAGAGAGCTTACAGATCGGGAAGACATACTGCGCGGGCCCAATGTATACGTGGAATGATACAAGCACTGATACTGGTAGTGGCGCTAGTGCATCAGCTTCTGGCTCCTTTGCCTCCGAGTGAGTTGAAGCTGCACTCGCGTGCGCAAGAGCAAATGTTATCGACCTGTTATCTTCATTTTCAGAATTATTCTATCATTATTCAATGGCAATGCGTCAAGATTCGTGTGTAGAGTCATAAGCCGCTCGTGCATATAAGAAGGGCGCCTCCAGTGTTATTGCGCGCTGCTTTAGCCGACTGCGTATTCTTGAACCGAATAAGATAGCCGGTCTTGGTGGTGCCAATGCCCGCTACTTGGGCGTCTTACGTTGCAGCGTCGCTCTTTAATACAGTGCGAATGTGGGCGTTAATGGCGTCGGTAGGGAGATATCGTCCAAATGTGTTTCCGTCGCTGTCTTTATTGTCTCTTGGATCGACGAAGGTTCTCTGGGTGCTGACCCGGACGTAGATTTGCTCTTTCTCGGGTTGTTGGTGATTTAGCGAGGGTGTAGCGTTGGTGCTATTTTCTGCGACTGCTGCCTAGGTCTTAGTCGCGGTCACTGTAGGGGCGCTTTCGAGCTACGTTCGTAGTGCTTTCAATTCCTCATGGAGTCTCTCGTTCTGTTCCTAGAGGACGTTCTGGCTGTGTTTGATCCCCTGGAGTTCGTTTTAGGTAGCTACGATAGTCGTGGTTTGGTGGCGGATAACGTCCATAAGCGTGCCGATCAGTTTCCACACCTCCGTGGTAGTGACTCGACCGGCTAGATCCGACGGAGCGAAGATATCTCCACTCCGGGTTCGCTTCCGGCCTTCGACGGTAGTTCTGGCTTCAAGGTCGCCCACGTGATGCTGGTGTTGGTTTCTTGGGTGTTTGTGGGAGGGGTCTCGGGCCCTCCCGCAGGTGGGTCCGCCGTCGGTCAGAGGTTAGTTCCCGCTCGTACACAACACACAGCTGTATATCGCCTTAATATCGACCACAACATTCAATGCCGACCGGAATTCCCTTAAGGTACAGTGCCAAGCCCTTTCCTCTCTATGAAACCAAGCAATACAGTGCCGACCATTACTCTTTGGTGTACTCCGTACAGTGCTGGCCGTTCGCTATCTACCGCCTGGTACAGTACCTCATATTTCCCCCCCCCCCACTCTTAGCGTAAACCCAAGACGACATCGAAGTCAGCCTCGCCGTTCATTTGGCCAATCCTAGGTTAGGATTCAATGGATCTGCAAGTGCCAAGAGAGCGCGGTTTCAGCCTGATCAAAGTGAACCAATAAAGCCGCATCTAAGCCCAGGCGAGGGAGGGTCGGTGCGGTTGTCGCGCGACGCTGGGTGATTCTCACCCGCTCTCACCCGGATTCTCACCCTGTCTATTGCGCACTCACCCTCTCTCACCCCGGTCGCGCGACCGTAAAGCGGCGCTCACCCATTTCTCACCCGGGCGGCAGCCACCCGACTATCTGCCGCACATAGGCCACACGCCGGCCAGTTAGTAGTATGGTGGGTGACCACATGCGAATCCTGGCTGTTGTATGTTTTTTATTTAGTTCATCTCCTTTGCCTCGTTGAGACTGCCCTTCTTTCTTGACTCTTCAGCCCATTCGGCCCCCTTCACCTGAACGCCCTACTCTTGAAGCCTCGACGTCGCCCTTATTTTCTCTCCATCCTATCCTTTTTTACGCTTGTATCTTAAGGACTGAACTGATTTCCTAGTTGGAGCTGACTTCGGAAAATAGATTTACCGTGACCACTTTTTGCTGTGTTTACATATGAGGTTATGCATCCGGTATGCTGGAACGGGCTAAAGCGGGGCGTAAGGCAACATCTTCGTCTTGTCAGTCATCCTAAGAAACCTCCGCCGTTTTGCTTCCTGTTAGTCCTTGAGCGTTTCAAATGGAATCGTTGATATCTTCCACAGGCTTCACAGGATCAAACTCTGGGCTACAAATTGGACACAACTATGGGGAGACCAATGCGCATTTTCACTTGCCACTAGGTGACGACTCCCAAATCCCCCAAAAACAACTCCTGGCTGACAATGTGGATGAAGCCCCAGAAGAGAGACCGCAGCCCCTTGCCATGATCCCTTTTGGTCGCGATCCGGATTTCGTGGACCCAGGATCTCTTATAGACCGGGTACATGAGTTAAGCTCTAAGCCTTCGGCCAGACTGGCACTGGTTGGCTTCGGCGGAGTTGGGTGAATATGTTCTGCTTCCCATACGAGTGAAAGTACAACTCTTTAACAACTAGAAGCAAATCCCAGATTGCCATTGAATACACGTACTGGATTCGGGAGCGATTACCTAAAGCTTGGGTTTTCTGGGTCCACGCAAGCGACGTCGTGCGATACGAGGAGGGCCTCCGTGATATCGCAGAGCGTGTCAAAATTCCACGTCGTCACAACCCAACTGCCAATATCTTTCAACTCGTTGGTAGTTGGCTTCAGGACTTACAAGAAGAACGCTGGGTCATCATCCTTGACAATGTCGACGATGATGAATATCTTCACAAACCAGCCTTCAAAAATTCGGAATCAACCCGCAATGATGAACGAGCTGAGCTATTAAATCACGGGCTTTCTGAGAAATCGCCCCTTGATTTTCTCCCAAGGACCCCGCATGGGTCCATTATAATCACGACTCGCAGCAAGCGCATTGCAATGAACCTTGTCAATGAATGCGATATTATAACAGTCGAACCTTCCGAAAGCCATGCATTTGCTTTGCTTCAGAGAAAACTTCAAAACGAAATCGTCGCAGATGAAGCGAGCCTGAAAAAACTTGCTCGAGAACTTGATTGTATAGCACTGGCTATCGTTCAGGCAGCAAGTTACATTGCAAGGCACTCCCCTCGGATTTCTATATCACGGTATCTTCGAATGTTCCGAGAAAGCAAAGAAGCAAGAACGAGTCTTTTGAAGCGTCAAACAAGGTTGTTGTATCGTGATGGGGGGGCCGATAATTCCATCATAGTATGCCTGCAAATGTCCTTCTAATCAATTCGAAAGGAAACTCCACAGGCTATGAATCTCTTGTCCCTGATGAGCTTTTTCGACCGACAAGGGATCCCAGATTATCTACTGCGAGCATCATTCCAGGACGATGATCATGATGAAACGATGAGTGATATCGACGAAGGCTATACGCCATTTGGACCTGCTTATCAGAAAGAGGAAAGCATTGAAAATGCCTTAGCAGATCCAGACGGCAGCATTGCTGGCATGGCCTCTTTCAATCTGTCGCAGTTAGATTTCGAGGACAGCATTGCAACGCTCCAAGACTACTCTTTCATTTCCACTAATCCCGAGACTCTCGCCTTCGAGATGCACGGTCTTGTGCAACTCTCGATCCAGGAATGGCTTAGCACCCAAGGAAGGCTCGAGCATTGGAAAGAGATATTCATCCGAAATCTATCTGGAATTTCCGAAATTCACCAATTATGAAAATATCTCTAAATCTCGAGCCCTGATCCCACACGTCCAGTCAGCTTTATCGCATGGCCCGGTTTCCAATCATCGATTAAGATGGGCCAGACTAGTTCGTCATGCCTCTGATTATGTGCTCTTCTGCGATAAACCAAATGAAGCCAAACGTATGACCGTCATCTCACGGAAGGAAATTGAAGATGTTCTTGGTTGGGAATATCCAGAGAAAATAATTGCCTTCGCCTTCGAAGTGAAAGCACTGATGAAATGCCAAGACCTCAAGACTGCCGAGGAACGGTGTCTCCAAACCCTCGAAGCTTTGAGGGAATTTCATCTGGAAACAGGCTACACCATCTATCTCATGTTTTGCCAGCTTCTCGCTGAGACACATCATCGGCAAGGCTCTCATCGGTGGGCTGAATCTGAATCTGAATATAAAGAGCTATTGAAGACGTGTGAGCGAGAACGTCCGGACAATGAAAGGTCCATTACTTCCATCAAGGCGGCTCTAGCCAAACTATATCAGGATCAAGATCGTCTTGACGAAGCGGAGATTCTACTTGAACAAGTAAAAGAGTTATACAATGCAGTTCCAAGAGACGGGTCTCACCACCTGAACCATCACATGAAGAGCCTGGCAACTTTGTATTTGAAACAAGGTCGACAACAAGAAGCGATGACACTTTTTGCCCAGGTCCTTGAAAGAGAAGGAGGTCAATACGGGCTAGAGCACCCGCAAACACTTTCCAGCATGAGAGATTTTGCATGCGCAATGCAAACCCAAATTCAGCCTAGGGAAAGAATGTTGCTGGTGCAAGAAATCTTCGAAAAGCAGAAAATTGCTCTTGGACTAGACAATATGCAAACAGCATACACCGCGACTCTACTGGTCGAGATGATGGTAGAAAATGACGAGCTAGAAGTTGCCTCAGTGCTAGCTGAAAGCTTGATCGACGTTCTTGACCCAGAGGCTCAGTTTGCACTTGCCTGTTCAGCTATGCTCGGGCGCATATATCTAGCACAAGGGCAAGCAGATAAGGCTGGAGACATCTTGACCAAATCACTCGAAAGAAGAATAACAATTTACGGAGCGGAGCATGATGAAGTGATCTATGCCGAGCTTGATCTGGCATTATGGCACGAGAAGCAAGACCAACTTCGTGAGGCCGAGGCTCTCTATCAGCAAATATACCAGGTTCGCCAGCGAACATTTGGTAGCGAACACCCAAATACACTTACAAGTCTCCAAGATCTTGTAGATCTTTATGTGAGGCATGAGGGTCTAGTCAGTTCTGAGTCACTATTGTCGATGCTTACCCAAATCTCCAAATTAAGAGAAGCAAATCTTGGTAGAGAGAATCCTCAGACTCTTCTGAATCTATTCGGGCTGTCGCTGGAGTACTTTACACAGGAAAAATGGGTTGATTCTGCTGTTTTAATGCAAGAGATCTTGGAGATCTGCCTGCGAAAATTGGGAAAAGGTTGTGATGTGCTGCCATTGCTGCTAGAGCCATTGGTTGCTTGCTGGGAAAATCTCGGCCGTGATGAGGATGCTGCATGCTTGGATAGACACATTGACTTTGTTTTGGACGAAATGTCCCCTGAGGAAATTGCAACGCAACTAAATTCCTCGAAAACTTTGCCGGGCATTTTGAAAAGGTCATCCTTAGTTATGCAAGCATCAGGAGCAGTGGCATCAGTCTGAAAATGAGATCAATGTTCTAAATGACCCATAATTGATCTATTTACATTCATTTTGTCCTTTTTTCGAGAAATCAGAAATAGACTGCCTCACAATCCGAGACTTACTGCTCGCTCACAAAAAAGATGTATATCATCGGGTCAATAACATAGGGACATTTCTTTTCATCACACGATAGCTTTGTGAAAATCATTGATCATGTTTTGTACCGAAAACACTATGCCGAAGCTTTGTATAACCTGGGGGTCGTGATACCAAGAAACTCGCCTCTCGGTTTCCGAGGGCTAGAGTTGCTTATCATCTAAAATTATTAGTCTAAGTTACTCACCGGTATGACTCTAAAAGCACGAATTTCAGCCGAAAGATATCCTAAAAATTGAGTCTGTTGCTCATTTCTTGAATTTGAAGGTTATCGAAAAATCTCTACCCTTGAAGTAGAGGCTGAATCCAACATCGCCTTTACGGACTTAAACGAAAGAAGCATGTGCTTGCTTTTTCCGATGACTATTACAGATAGACCCTTCTGTAAGTTACCTGCCTATATTACTAATGCTTGGCAGTGTCAGTCATTATCCACGAAGTGACCTCTCGTGACGAATCCAAAAAATTTGATAGTTGCTTCGACTGATATCGGAAGAGTTCATTCTTCTTCGTGAAGACAATAAATATTGCTGGCAAGATTCACCAGCATTTGTCAGATTTGACATTCAATACGGTGGATCTCATAACAGAGAGGCAACATTCTTTAGAAGATTCAATATTTCATCCTCTGAACATCCCATCAATTAGATCTGTGATGAGTAACAATAGCTGGTCCACTTTGAGAGATTACTAGAAGCGTTAAAACAGGAATTCATTTTGCTTGATCTCCCTTTTGAGGGATCCTTAGCGGGGTATTGGTACAGACATGTCAAAGACCATCTTCTCACCCCACAAACCACCGAAGAGCTACACATTGCAGGCTGGGATTTCTCTACCGGGTTAGAACTGGAATCCGGTTACACGAAAAGTCAAGGGAAAGGGAAAGGATCGCCGATTGCTTCTTTGAGTCTCACTGAGGGTAGTGGTGAGGAAGCGGCAGAGAAGTTACATACGAGGAGCGGAGTAAGTGGTAGGAAGAGAACAGATGAAGTGAAAGACAATTATGAGAAAATGCTTTTTTATGTATTGCTAGACTCTTCGTTTCATCAAAATGTGCGATGGGTCCTTTTGTGTGGGTGATTCAGGCGTTCGAGTGAAGAGTATTCAGGCGGGTAAACTTCCAGACCGACTGAGTAGAGCGGCGGCTACCCATGACCACGTGGGCGCTAGGTGAACCAACATCATATTATGGCTGTGAGATGTTTTTATTTTTGATATTTTCCATACGCTAGGACATTGAGTGCCCTTGCTGCACCTCTTCGGCCCTCTTCACCTGAACACCCTATACGCCCTCTATTCTTCTAACCGAACACACTGAACTAACTATATGACTAGTATTTCCTTCCGTGTATCCGCTGCTGCGGCCGTTCCGACAGAAAGTAGCCACAGGTGGGCAACAATCCGAAAACGTGACTGATATACCACATCTATTCTGGCAGCTTTCAGGTGGAATACTTTGGAGATTATTTGAAGCGGGAATATTAGCGATCTAAGCCAAATTTGATCTTAGCGTTGAGCATCGAATTTTGATAATACATCTTCCACCTCTGGAGGTTCCAAATGGCCGGAAAGAATTTTACAACCCTCTGTCTAGGGCAATGGCTGATCTACATCAGTGCCCTGCCGTGAGATAATTTATTGGACTTGGACCGGACACACTTAGTTGAGAGACGCAATAAAATGCACCTGTTTTACTTTGGTATCTAGCAAGTAATGATACCGATCTTGTAAGAAGCTCGCAGAGTTTTATAGACCTTCGAAGGTACCTTTGATAGTTGAGCAGAATTGGCCAAGTTTATTTCTTTGTTGAAGTGCTCCCATCCCCCTCCTCTTACAGTTTATCTGATAGCAATTAATCTCAACAATTTAGGAAAGAAGAATCTAAGGAGCATCAAAATGAAATTATTGTTCCAACTTGCGACTAGCCGTAATTCCCTTCTCCTCTGCTAGTCTAGCCCGCAAGTACATCTGCTCCACATGGTCTAGTCTTCCCTGTTTTAGATATAGAAGTGCGAGATCGTCAATGATCTTGAGGGTCAGAATGAATGCGGTTTGTGTTCAATAGGACTTATCTAAGAGGGAAATAAGGGGAATGTTATTCCCCAACAAATACATAGTGACATTTTGGTGACGGAATAGCGTTCCCACATGCTTTGTCAAATTGAAAAAAAACAGCCTTTCCCCTCACGGTACTTCTACGCTATCGCTTATATATTTTTTTTAGCCTTAGAGGAAGGTTCCCCTATATTCAAATAGATTTTTTACATTTTAGTTTTCTATACCCAGAAATACTTTGAAGCACAAAAGTCGTCAATGAATAGCTGAACATCACTACCTGCGTTACAGGTATTCCTGTCGGATGAAAAGTAGCAAACCTAAGTCCAAATAAGATGTAGGTCATTCAGCTCGTGACAAAATTGAAAAAGCACAGCACACGAAAGAGAAAATGAGATTCTTGTTGACCCTCCTGATCAAGATGCAGTCCACTTTGATAGTCCCCTAGCGAACCCTTCGCCTATTCCGTGAAGGCGAGAGCTGAAGATCGTCAAAGTCTGATGCTAATCCATCAGAATCCAGCTCGACCTCGTTGACACTGATGGACTTGATTGTCGGCGTCGGACTCTTATTAAAGTTCGGAGTCAGCTGTGGTGTGATTCCACCATCCTGGTCTGCCTCCTTCTTTGGGGTCGACTTCTTTGAGCCCGGGCTTGCAACGAGTCGACGGCGCTGTTTTCCGCACTTGAGGTAGCCTTCTGAAGCCGGAGGAGGGAGTCTTGTCTTGGCTTTATCCAACAATTCTCCAGATTTCTTATCGTATGAAGGAGATTTGGCAAATTTGACCCATTTTTCAAGGCTTTCAATCAGACTGTCCTCGTCAATCTCAAGCAGCTCTTTGTGACGAACCCCGTGCTTTGAACAGGCATCTTCCAGTGTAAAATGCTTATTGGAAAATTCTGCCAGCAGTAGTTGTTCCACGCGAAAGGCATACGGCGTATACTCCGTCTTGATCACATTATAGTCTCCGTAACACCGGTGTTGCTTGAGCCGATTTAGTTCAGGATAATCTTTAGTATGGCCAATCTTGAACTTTCCAGGTAGGTTGGAAGGGCTGATGATATAGACATATCCAGATGCTATGGCTTTTTCCCTGATAGGTTGCTTTACGTGCCAAGTGACGTCCTTTGCCACTCTGTCTTCGTCGAAAGTAAATGTACGGCGAAGGGCCCCAATGTGCGATGGGGATTGACTCGGTGGTGTCGAGATACCCTCGTTCGCATATTCAGATGTGCATATTTGCTCCTGCGCCTCAAAATACTCTCCGTCCGATTCATTTGAGAAGGGCTCGTCCTTTTTATCCTTCTCTTCAGATTCCTCTTCGGTACGGGTATCGTCATTCTCATAGCCGTAGTATTTCTCCAGGGTGCGAATTATCAAAGATCTTATCACATTGAACTCATCCAGCCACTGTAAGGCGACTCTAGAGACATGGCTCCCATGTCTCTCACAGACAAGTCTAGCAGCGATAATTTGAAGGACTGGAAATTGGCTGGACGCCTGGGTGTATCTCCCTGACCGTGCTGTGAGAATGCTGAGATTGCTCTCAAAAAGTAATTGGACGTTTTGAGCCTCCTTCTGACCGAACTTGGCCGTGCACAGGCGCTTATCATTCACAAGGTAGGCGCATTGTAAAGATTGAGAAGTGCTATGGGCCCAATCTACCACTTCTGCTAAAGTACAAAAGGTTGGCCCTGAGGTGGTCATGATTGAGTAGAGCTTTTTCTTGTTGGAAATGGAATTTAAATTTTCCATTCAAACACAGCTGGGCATATCAAAGGATTGTCAAAAATTGCGAGTTTGTTGTAGGTCTAGATACCCTGCAACCGTGGTGTGCTTGCTAGCCTTTATATTGACCCCCGCGAGAACACATTTGCCCGGAGACAAGAATTTGGAATAATGGCCCCCTCCTCGATGGAATTAGCGCTTTATGCGCAGCAAAATGAGGGGGCTGAGTCCAAATGTCCGCGTGAACACCTTCGGATGGGGTTGAAACAGGGGTTGGGACAGGGGATGTCAATTTATTTGCCGATAGCGTGGCATAGTGCCGTCCCTATGCGGAAGGTGTATAACAGAACGAGGCTCCTAATATTGCGAGATCTCTGGTTCGTGGATCAGAAGGTTGCTTACATTGCGCTTAGACATAGTTATGAGAGGGTGATGGGTACGATGCATGCATTGGTTCAGCGCCTAGACATGGGTTCTCAGCCACCATAGCAAAGGTACGTTTCAAGTAATAAGGGGGCCAAGCCAGACTACGAAATCCCATTTCCAGTTCCCGATGTCTGTATCAACAAGCAAAAGCCCGACTCAAGAGCTTTCTACCTTCGGCGAAAACCTTCCCATTGAGGTCATGGGCTGTTGCCTGGTACTTCGAGCGGGGACTATCTAACCACTTCACCGTGCCGTCACCATTTCTAAATCGGTGATAGCAATGCGACGACAAATAATCTTTATGTCGTGGGCAACCAGCTCATACGACTGAGTACCTCAGTACGTAAGTTATGATCTTATCGAAGTCCACGAAGAAGGTTAAATTAGCGGCTGAATCCTTAAGCTTGGTTATATAAGAATGAATAACGTACTTCACGGTCGTCCGGGTTACCCCATCCAAAATCGCGACTTCCTGCCTACACACCAACTTCAGGCCCCTAATACGGCAGACTATAAAGGGGAGAAGGCCATAACCCTAAATTTCTTTGAGACCATTCACTGCTTTACTTCCTCCTTAAGTACAACTTCATATTTACTACATAATAAGGATATCAACGTAGAGATTCAACTAGGAAGCCGTCTAGGAAACCATCTAGGAAACTACCTAGGAGGTTATACCTATAAACCGCCGCCTTGGGCGATTTAAGAGAAGGACTAGTTTAGTAGTATCAACGCCGAGGACTTAATTACGATATTAATTAAATTTATAAGACTATAATAAAATATAGGCCTCACTTAGTTTCGATCGGAATAATTAATAGGATTAGGTAAAGAAATTAGGCCGTAAGAGGGTTCAATATTCGATTACGGATTATATCTACATTTTAGCTCCAGCAGTCTCATTAGTTGTTTAATCTGAATCGATTTCGATTGTTTCGTTGCCGGACATCGCACTTGATAAAGGGTATAGGATATGCTTAGATTATATAGGGAAAAGGATGCCTGAAAATGAGATCCTGCCGATTCTTAAATTGCGATAAAGGACCATGGCCTTCTCCCCCTATAGTCCGCCGTAGTATGTAGTACAATTGTAAATGCCAGCATTAGAATAGCTTCCATATTAAGCCTATAGAGTCCTAAGTGCTTCTAGAACATTGGTCCTGAAAATAAGGTAAATTAAAGAGTTTGCCTGGTCAGTAAAGAGAAAAGGGGGGACGATTGTATTTTAACTGAATACACTGACGGACCGGTACATTTTTATTTTGACAGTCAGCCTGGCTACTCAGCCAGTATTCGCTTTCCAGCCTATCAACCACTCAACCTCCGGAATGTCACCGTATCGAATATGAGGCGCAAACAGAAGCAAATAGATGCCACTTCTGATATATTCATACACGTATATGCTCTAGAATCATGACTGTTGATTTCCTGTTCTCCAAAGCCAAGTCTTCTTAGGCAACTAGCTGGATGCCTAGACTAGTTCGTCGAGCGGGGCGCGAACCGCGGCTCAAAAAGGAACTCCTCTATGCTCAAAGAACCCTCCACGGTGAATTGCACAAAATGGCATTCGTGTCTCTCCCTCCCGAGATCCATGCTCGAATTATCTTCTACGTCCCCTCAATCCTCGATCTAGCCGCCCTGTCGCAGTCATGCCGTGCACTACACTCCCTGTGCGACATGAAAACGCGCGAGCGGTTTTACCGGATGCGTGTCTATCCTAATGACACCAGCATTAACGAGACGTTTGGTTTGCTGATGGGGATCCTCAAACAGCGTAGACTGGGCTATTACGTGCGCGAAATTGAGCAATACTGGAGGCCCAGCAGCGAGCTTCCCTATATAGAGAAAGAAGAGCAGCGCGACCTTAGCACGAACGAAAAGAATCTCATTCGCGTGGCTGTGCAGAGGGCGGGCTTTGTCGGTCCCCAGGAAAGCGCCATCATCAATATGCTCATGCAAAACACCACGCAGGGTGCACATAGCATCAAGAGCTATTCTCGATCTGGAATTGGGTAGGGAAGCTGTCCACCTTTTCAAACGTCCCTCTTCTTTCTCGGCCGAGCGCTAAAAAGACGAACAGCCCCGGTCGGATTCTGGGAACCTTCATCGCACAAGCATTGGCCGCGATTATTATCTCGGTATCGCCTAGTCTGGAGGCTTTGGCGATAGCGCAGCCCTTCGAATCGCATTACCGATTCTACTTAGACGCCGAGAAATGGCCTCGAGATTCGTATGTCGACCATCCCCTCGATCGGCTTCTGCGTCGGGCCAATGCAGACCCGGCCAACACCCCATTTCTCCAAAATCTTCGCAAAGTGTATATGATAGTTGACGAAGTAAGGCCAGTTGATGACAGGCGCTTCTACACCTACGTCGACTTCACTGATTGCATGACACTCTTCGACCACCTCCCGTCCATTGAATCGATAGGCTCGGATGCCCTCGGAGAAGACGAGAATGACAACTCGCGCCTAGTGTCGGGATCATCCAATATTAGCAAAATCTATCTCAACCACTGCGCCCTTGGAACACCCTACCTTGCCTACGTCATCCAATCCAGCAAGGCCTTACGAGAATTCCAGTATACCATCGGCGGCCGAGGGGTCTTGGGTGGATCGTCCTCCTTGTTCAATGTCAAAACCTTCATCAAATCAATATGCCCACACAAAGACACGCTAGAAGTCCTTGATATCGATGCCGAGTCACATATTTTCTACTTAGGCGCCTTTCATGAGGAAGAGGGTCTTGTCGACCAGGTAATTGACGAAATAACGGACTTCTACAGGGACGAAGAGGATGAGAAGCAAGAGTTCCTCCGGTCCTTCTGGGGAAACAGCGGCTCTCTGAAAGATTTTCGCGCTTTGAAGCGATTGAGCCTAGGAATCGGGTTTTTGCTGTATTTTGCGAAGGGGGTCGGCGAGACGGACGAGAAAAGGGAACCGGTCATGCTACCGGATGGTCTACCTAAGAGTCTGGAGTACCTTTGTATTCGGGGATACGAGAGGGGAGAGTGTGAGAAGTGGGATGCGCATATCGATGCCTTAGTGGCATTCTACAAGTCCGGTTTGTCGAAGCTTAAGGAGATCAGGGGGATTTAGACAACGATCCCCAATGCCCGAGATGTGAAACGACCTGATGATAACGAGGATTCATTGTGGACTCTGAAACATGCCGGATATGCGCTTTGAAGAAGGCTCAGCCGAGCGGAGACGGGCAACGAGGCGAGAGAATTCATAGTAAGAGTATTTCCACTCAGTTACTGAAGAACGAGTGAAGGGGTTACAACAGCTGACGGCGATGTTTCGATGCGTTCATTTCTGCAAAATTATTGCCCGTTGTCGCCGTCCATTTTGGCCGCCGAAGTTCATTCTTGCTGACGCCTGGCTACATTGCCTTATTACTCGTCTACTTCTCCATGCTTTCTTCTAATTGGTGCTCTGCCGCTTCATCTTCCTTCGTCCTTAAATATTGGGCTTACCCATATTCGTATTCGGTCTGCGGATCCTATCGGATTAGACGATAACACTGTCGAGATATCAATCGCGTTGAGCGGAAGCCTTGACTGTGGAGAATGCACAGGCTAATGAACAATCTTCAGCGTGTAGATTCTGTCTTCGGTATGACAAGATGGGTAGAAAACGGTTCTAACGTGCGGAAAGTTGCGCGAAACAGGAAACGGTAGCCGAAACCAATACGGTTTGTTCTATCATCGAAGGCCTTCTACGGTAGGAGATCTTCTGTCAGTCGTTACATCGGTCAATTGGTCTCTTCTTCGCATTTTCTATTGTGTTCCATTCCCAAATGTGCCCTTTCGGAAGGATTACCATGTTGGTTCATACTCTACCCTCCGTTGGGTGGTAGGTTCGTCTGTTCCTCTCTTGGTGGTTGCCTATCTCTCTCGTGCCTCGACCGGTCTTTCATTGAGTAGACTGCCGCTAGGGCATCCCCTCAGTTAATTAAATCCTTTGCTATTTTCAGTTACTCGTTCTTTGCGAAATTTACGTCGAGTCTTGGGTCACGGTCAAATAGAGACTTTACTTGTAGAAAATCTCGGTTTATGATTCTAACCGGGGTCTCTTTAATATGCGTCTTTTCGCATGTGTAAATTCAAGTCTCACGTACATATCATCGCGTAACTATGCCTTGATGCCTACAAGGTTACATCACATCAATACCCACTTTGTCAACCCTCCCCCGACTGCCCTGCACCAGGCTAGGGGGGTCTATGGCCCAGCACGCGTCGGGCCGGACCATTATTTTCTAGGCCAATGATAATATGTCACTACCTCTCCCCTGCATCCCTAATGCACTCATGTCTTGAAACTGAAATTTGGTTGTTCGAGCATGCCATAATATTGACCGGCTGATCTGCTACTCCAATAGTTCCGCACGTGTCATTACCTCCGAACACGTCAAAAGCTTTGCGTAAGTATGATACCAATCAACAAGCTGAATAGCTTCGAATTCGCAAATTATAGCTCTTTTTAGGCTCAATAACCTTTCGATAATGGCCCCATGATGACTGCATCGAAAGTCGTGATCATGATTGTCACCTCTTCTACAGGGATCTGGATGAGTCCTATATAAGGCAGCTCCTCGGATTGTTTGATCCATTTTCCAACCGTCCCGACCAACGCTCCAAGCCATTCGTAATGCAGGTTGCCAAGATTTCCCTTTTCCTTTTCGCTGCCATGGGTACGGTTGCTAGTCCCATTGATGCCGAGTCCGAGGGCCTCAGTGTTAGAGGGGTGAATGCTGCCGACATTCAGTACACAGGAGTGAGATTTATGCAGCACATGTAAACATGAAAAAGAAGCTAATAACTTGTAACAGAAATGTTATACAAATGGCAACAATTGCAAATACGATTTTGATGGGAAGACGCACTTTGTCAAGTGCCCTAGCGCCGCCAACACGAAGGTATCTTTTCTTTATAATTAAGCATATTGACCTGGACTAACCTTGATCATTAACTCTCAAGTGCGAGAAGAATGGAAATAAGTGCACATATGACTCCTACAATGGAAAGGTGAAGTGTGACTTCCGCCATTGATGAACCTATTTCAAATGGCTATTCCTGGCCATTCATCTTACTAGAAATTGTAAGATGCCGCGCGGTTCTCAAGCCTAGTCAAGAAGGGCTAGGAACAAGCAGTATTGAATGTGTGTTGGGTGGAAACATATGTGGTGTCCATCCCCAGTATCTCGCTCTTCTGTGATTTTTGCTATGACCACACTCGTTTATCATCTAGCTTGATAGCTTGATGTTTTCGCCTATCAATTATTTGCTTATCAATAAATTGCTCATTGACCGCCTGATGCTTTAAGAATCTCTGTCAACCAGAGACTATACTAGCCATCTATTTATTGCTAGGTCATGCTAGTAGCCTGACACTCTGGTAGCTACTAGGTTCCTCAAGAATCTGACTAGAAGGATTCTATCTGACAGTTTGAACAATCCGAAAGTTCGACAATTACCAGAACTTTAGAACATATATTTTTTATCTGGTGCAGGTAAGGAGTGTAATCGTTTTTTATTTGTATACCTTAGAAGATAGAGCAGACATACGAAGGGCTTCATTGAGGGAAAAGAGAAACATTGAACTTGGAAGCTAAAGTAGAAGAAAAGCTAAGAAAGGAGGAGAGAGATCTGATGGATTCCTTGCTTGGAATCTGCTTTCGGGACTTCCTTCGTGTCTGACTTACTTTACGCCATCCTTTGAGTCATCCTTAAAGTCTTCATTCTCCGTAGCCTCACTCTCCAAAAGCCTATTCAGGCAAAGCAGATGTTTGTTCTGATGCAAGGCATCTCCACCGTTCCGATATGCCCTTAAAATTTCAGAGTTTCGTTGAACGAGCGTGTTGAGCATGTAGTCAATAGCATCGGTGGCGTACTCTTCTAAGAGTTTCTCGTTGGCCTCTTTGGCCTCCTCCTGAATTTCATGGAGTCGCTGAAGCCAGTACATGTACCTCCATGGCGAGAATCCAGTGGGCGATCGTTGCCCAAGCTCTGACTCGATAAACATCTCGCCACCCTTGCTGATTATACAAGGGCAATCGTTCCAATAGACCTCTGAGAGTAGAATAAGATTATGACCTGTATGGCGGAGCCAGGCCACAGCAGCTGGCAACAAATGAAAAACTTCAAGCTGATGCATGCTTCGCTTCGGATCTTCATCATCCGACTCCTCTCCGCTGCGAAGTCCCTGTCTCTCCTCAAACAGATTGCGGAAGAGAATAAGGGCAATCTGGCACAACCTATCCTTAGCCACGCGAGTTGATGCCAGTTTAGCCAGGAAAGTTGCAAAGTTGAGTCGGTGCGTACCCGACATCGTTGGGAAGTCGCTATTCCAGAAGCTGGTCATGTCGGTGGCCAAAAAGGGCAGCTCATTCCATAGGACACCTTCGGCGGTTCGTGCGATATCAACACCGTAATTTCCTCGCACAGGCCGAGTCAGCGGCCCTATTCCTTGAATACGGACGATGTCGAGGACAAGACCCTCGTGGTCGGGCGTTTCGTGCGAAATGTTACGACCGAGCTGATAGTACATATACCAGATGGAATGTATGTACTCTTCGAGGGAATCCACGCCATCTCCAAGCTCGCAGTATCGGGAGGTGATGATCCAGGTCCGGTTACTAAAGGCCGCACTCCGAATCTCCTTGAATTCTCCCCGAGCAATGCACTGACGTGTGTCCTCCTGGTCCATCCGAAAAGCTTCGGATGGGGTGAGGTAAGGAGTGCCTTGTGGCGAAGAGCTGAGCAGCAAATCACGGAGATTATGCATTATGAGGTGTCGGCGGTGCTGATCGATGGAAAGATTCGGTTGCAATAATGAATACGAAGATGAATGAAATGAAAGAGAAGTGCCAACATGGTAGAACCCCACGGGGTCTTCAATCACGGGAAAGGGTGAACGAGAAGGGAGAAGACAAGGATTTCTCTCAAAGAAACTCCTAGGCAGCCACGTACGGATTTTGCTGATAGCCTGGTTGGTATCTGAATCCTGGGGCTCATGCATGCGCTATTCGAGCGCGGTTTTCTTTGTCCCTTGTTGGTCACCCGGCAAGCGGAGTCATCCTACAGCCTCTCAAAAAGTAGTCTGGATGTAACGGTAAGTTTGGTGATCTACTAGAAGTACATAGGAAAAAGATGGATCTTTGTCTGACCACGTCCTTTTGCCACCCTTCACCACCTCGGGTATGTAACCTCCGAGTCTCAGATATTCTCGAGGGTATTTCAACCCCCTCGACCCCCACCAGCCCTAGAGGACCAGAATCAACACTCTTTATATCTCATCTTACGTTATTCGCTTTTGATTCTGTTGCCTTTCGCAGGCCAGTAAATTGGTATATTTCCATAGCTATACAGGGCATTCCTGGTAAAGAGTTGACCTACCACCCAGACTTATCTCGTAAACAAGAAAGCTCTTGTACAGGAAAGACCCTTTTTCACAATTTTACAATACAAATACAAGAAAATGGTCTTCCGTCGAGATTTCAGAGAAGTAACAGTAAGAGCCGCAGGACAACTTGAATTTTGATCGTGAGCACAGATATATATTTCGAAGTCAGAAGAATTTCAGCAGAGTGTAAGTCAATCTCTGATTGATTATAAGAGGAGGAATCAGACAACGATAAACTTGAGCTAGTGATCTCTTACTCCTGATAACGACCTATAGATATTTCAGACTTAGATGATAGTGCCCTATATCATAGGTCAATCACAAGAACAAATCAATCCGGTACTAGGGACGAAACTATCGAAGCTGGAGAGAGAAAGAAGGAGAGTTACAATCGTGGGGGGATTCCTGCTGAATTATTGCCAACGACTACTTTATTTACTTCAATTTCAAAATTCCTCCATCTTCCTTACATTCATTCTCCTATCGCCAAGTCCTACAGCCACGCCTCGCTAGGCTAGGTAGGGTGTGACTCGTCCTCGTAATGATTCTCTGCGTTAGGCTATATAATTTCTCATTCGCACCACACCATGGAAGGCGCAGGCTCAATTACAGATTCGTTCAAGATCGGTTTAATCATTGTATCCTTCTTGGAAAATTAAGGGTCTTGGTAAGACCCCCACCTCTATCCTAGAAAGTCTAGGCTAGTGCGGGTAACGAACAATAGGGAGCAGACACCTCAGGCAGAATTCACTATGTTGGAGCAGCAGGATTGGTGGATACCCGGAAAACGGAGATACCATAGATCCACAAAGATTAGTCATGTATTTAGCCCATCCAAATTGCCAGCTAGGGGCTTGTTAGCAATTCAGACTCATTGCGATTGCTAACTATTGGTGCACCTACATGGCTTATTCAGCTCTGTTCTAACACACTAAGTTAACTAACTAACTATATCTACCGACAGCAATTCCTGCCTCAGGCATAAATGGTATAACGCAGGGGAAGGGACATGTGATAAACTTCAAACATGAAATACTCTTTCACCGGCCCTCCTCCCGTGCCCAACTCCTTTCGTTTCCTCCTACTTATCTTATGTCTGTGACTTTGCATTCGGGAAATCGCCATGATGAAGTTGGGGCAGATAATCATAGGGCGAACGGGCCAATACTCTATCACTAAGCAACTTCATGAGAGTGTCTGGCTTGCGATGTATGTTTTTCTAAGAGTCTACTCGACGATTACCCTTTAACTGTTGCTGTCCACAGGAACCAAGATAATGACAACTTCATCGTGAAAAGTGCCAACCATTTCCGTGTTCACAACGAAAGAGACGTCCTCCGGAAATTTCAACACAAAACTCCCTTTTTACGGCCCCTGCTTGACGAGATCCAAGACCCTGCTTCTCCACCGGCGATTGTTCTGAAATATCTAGATGATGATATTTCACATGCGTCCAATAAAAAACGTCTCGCCCGTGCAGAAGTCAAGTACGTCGCTCACCGTGTATTAGAAGCGCTATCTGTTCTGCACCAAGAAGGATTTGTTCATACGGGTAAGGCTTTAGTAACTGATATCTATAATCTCGCTGACATGGAAATATACAGACATCAAACCAAGCAATGGGTTGGTCAATAACGGAAAAGATGGATCTAGGTTCAAAGAGGTCCAATTAGCAGATTTTGGAAGCACAGTTCACATGGATTCTGCTCATGCTCGCGATGGAGACTCCATCGGGACCCCAATTTTCAGAAGCCCGGAGGCTCATCTACAGATGAGATGGGATACAGCCACTGATATATGGTCTTTTGGGGCAACGGTAAGTCTTTCCACCTGAAAGCTTCTTCTGCCTACTTTGATCTAATCGATGTACAGCTCATAAGCCTGCTCTACGGGGAGGGTTTCCATATTTTTAAACCTGATGTCCCTGCGGATCACGAAGGTGATAATCTGAAAATCCTCATGAAGCACCATCAAAGTTTTGGGCCGTTCCCCGCTTCGTACGATGAGATAGCAAACCAAGAACGACGAGCAGTTCTGGCTTGGGTTATGCAAAACTGGCTTCCAAATACTATGAGGCCTTTTCATCTCACGACCTCACGAGAGATTTGCAATGAAGACAAGGAGTTTGTACTTAAGGTCATGAGACTTGACCCAAGAGATCGGCCTTCTACCCAGGAACTGTTAGAAGACAGCTGGTTTGCTTCATGGGAATGACGCTTGATCAAAAAGAGATTGAGTGTATCTCAATACTCGATCTGGGACCGTGTACAGTGATAAAGGCTGATAGCGATAACTCGGGCAAGATTGTGTTGGATATTCTCTTCTTTGTGGTATTTCTGTTTCTACCCATCCCGTGACATACCAACGTCGTTGGTCGCTTGGCTGACGGCCTAAAGTGGAAAACATCTTACCTCCTCCCGGGAATCGATAAGTCAAGACAGGAGTAGGTGGTGTCAGCAAATCGCCCGTGGAAACTATGTACTAAAGCCCCCAATCTCGATTTGAGTCCGACTCAGGTTGATGTCAGGCGTTCACTTGCGCGTTCACTAAGCAATAGCGGCCGAGTTCACAATCTGTTATGTAAAACCGTTTTTGGTCTCATACTCTCGGTGATGGCGCAATGTTTCCCAGCTACCAGGGGTGAATGAGGTGCTGAAGTATTGCACGGGGCATCACGAAGAATGTGGCTGTTCAGAGGGATGGGTTTTTCTGAGGGGGGGATGTTATATGAAAGCTACATGCTGGACGGTCTCTTTGAATGAAACGAGGATATGGTCTCGGCTCTGCATGCTGATTTTGACTACTGACTCTACTTCTGACTTACTTACAGTTCTGATCGGATGGGATATCCGGACGGGGAAGTAAATGCCTCAGGCGTCCAGTCCCGGATTATCAATTCCCCGATATGACCAGCTTCAAAACTACAAATCCCTCAATAAATACCTCAATGCAAAGTCAATGCCAATCACTCATAACCCAGTCACCAATGATCCCATATTATACCCCACACATTCATCCTGCACAATGCTCACACCGAAAAAAAATGATATGCGAATTACCTCATCTCACGCCGAAACGGAAGCATCTTCCAATCGCACGCCCGCCGAGCCCACTATCACGTAAACCTCGCCCCACCCCGCAACACGATCCAGTTTTCGTTGGGGGAACCTGCAACAGTTGCAATCCTCGTGACCGATGATTCGCTGCGCCACGAACAACGTGGGCAATTCCCAAGGGCCACACGCCTGAACCTGAATGATTATCTGACTCTAGGCCTAGGGCGATTTGAAAGAGAGAAAAAAAATCTGCCCCCCTTACCCCGCAAGAACCGGCGATCCAGGTACCACGCCAAACCCCTCCGGTTAGTGGCCGGGCCGGGGAGAGTGGCCACTGTGTGCAGTTCTGTGGCCATCGACCACTGACCAGAAGGAATTGTGTGTAATAGCCGGGGCTATTACATTATACATTGGCAATAGGGGAGTTGCGTGCTTTACAAGGTCCGTGACTGCACGCTCCGGATTAATCTCGCCCACTGGATACTTACCCCAGGATTTCCTCCCGCTGGTGGTGATGGCGAAAATCCCCCGGACGGGACGGTCGCGGTAACCTGGTGGATTGCTTGTCGATGTACGGTGTATGCGATACAGTACATACGGTAGGGCTGGACTTAAGACTGGTCAAGCATGAGCACTGATTCAGTAGAAGAAGGTTGTTGAACTCAAGTCTTGCAAGTTGCTCGAAATTGAATTCCAGATTGAGGCATTTAGGGGGTTCAATTGACGTTCACAAAATATTCGTCGCGATACACGCTTTCTTCCTAGTTGTGTAGTCCTGGGAGTACCGCGTAGCAGAGTGCCCGAGTCATGGGCTTTACTCCGTGGGACTTCCGGTGCCTTGCGACAGGGCCGGGCGCCATGACACATCGCATTCCACGATCTTCGACGATCACCTCATTTGGGGAAAAGATTGAACTAATTGTGTTTGAATTTTTACGATTGCACAGGACTGCGCTGTATTGTACCTTGTCGTCTCCAGTTTACCAGGTAAACAATCATTCCACATTCTGACATTATTGGCGTTCTCGGTGCCATGCGGTACCTGGAAAGGAGAGAAGAAAGTACCTTCATAGGAGACTGGAGCCGAATATAGAATGCTGACCTGCTCAGGTGACCCAAGAAACCGATGGGGTTCTAATTGTTTTCCTAGTTCCATTAATTAGTTTTCCATAGTTCTACTGCATTTGGACTTGCCCCTTGAGAGGCGTTGGTTTGCTTTTCCTCTCCCTTGGGCTTTTGACTAATCGTGATAGTTTCCAGAGGCGCTGGTTTAGGCATGTCTCTCCGCAATTTCGACGTCTTGTGACCTGAACTCCGCCTGCTTTCAGCTGAGAGTTGCTATAGTTACTATTATAATTACTTAGTTACTACGATAATTAATTACCATTGTACTAGTAGACCGCTATTATAGCTATATGGCACAGAATCTAGTAACCACGGACATACTCTGGTTCGCTATGGGGGAAGTACCTTATGAGACATCCTCTATCGTCATCCCGTACGATACAGTAAAGAAACATACATAATTCTCCGAAAAATCTCGTTTGTCCAATTCCTTCCAGGCCCCAAGTGAGGCAATTCTTTTCTTCCCTGATGGCTATTTTCGGCCCGCATGACGCAGCGGGTTTTTCTTCTCGGTCTTGACCCTCGGAAAGAGGGGCGATGGCTGCCAATCAGCGGATCGCCGACCGCCGTCGGGGCCTGTGGCTCATGGTGTCTTAGTCACGCCCCGAGTCTTTTCCACTCCCCCAAGAGGAATGAGCGTTGGACTGGGTGGAGTCGATGCGGATCAAGGGCCTTCGAGACCGCCGGGTCACGATGGAGTCGGTGGTCTTTGCCGCCTAGCATCGGCTATGACTGGTCCCAAGGGTGAACGCGTGCTTTGTACGTTGGTCACGACGTGGAAGATGGGCAATGGATGGGGTAATAATAATTAATTCGAGAATATTTCCGTATCATGGGGTAGCCCGAAAAAATTATTCATGGAATTTTTATTTTTTTTAAAAGAAAATCAAGGCAGTGAACTGTGCCTCTGTTGCATTTTGTATTTAAAGTGCCCGGCTGTTCCCCGGATTTCCGTCCAAACTATCTTTTTTTGCGATCCAGGATTGCGATCTATATTTCGACCGATAGTCGATGGCGCCGGTGAGTAAGATCTATATGCCTATTCCTTTGCTGTTGTATACCGTTCTACATCTACGGCTATACTGTTATACCTACTACTACCATTACCACTACTATATGTGGCCAGTCGGTATAGCAGTATGACGGTATAGCGGTAGATTAGCGTGTCTCCTATCTCTCTTTTGCCTTATCTATCATTCCCCTTGCATTGTTATCTGCGGAATTCCTCGAGAAGAGCAATCATCAAGGAATTGCGGACGGCAGCAGCAGCAACGGCGGTAGCCAGCCGAATCCTCAATTCGCCGGTGACGACTGCCCGCGCCACTGATAAGCGCTTCTTATCTCTTCCTCTACCTCTCCTCTCCTCCTCCTCCCAGTTCACGTGCCCTTCAGCTGGCTAACTTATGGCCGTCCTTAAAACAGCGTCTTTTCTTCTCTCTTCGAATCTAGAGTCTCTCTCGACTTTCTTCTAACCTCCTCCTCTCCCCCCCTCTTCACATTATGTCGTCCCCTACACCTTCAACTCCGGTCTCCGAGGCTTCCAATGGGGCCGCCCTGCCTTCCCGCCCCGCACAGGGCCTCTTTAATGGCCGCGAGGGTGGCTCCGGCACTGGCACCCCCATTGGTTTCCAGCGATTCCCTCACAACAAGCACCTCGATCATGTCGTCCATGCTGCTTTGCGGCAACCCTCCCCGCAGCCCACGCACTTGGGCATTCCTGGCACTCCCGGTTCCCCGCACCGCGTTCTGTCCGAGGAGGACCCGGGCTACATTGCCGCCACCTTCGAGGGCAAGCAAAAGCAGATGGAGCAAGGTAAGAAACACCATGGAACAATCAATTGGGTGGAATTAGGATGCTAAATCGGGGTTTCCTTCTCTTAGTGATGGATCAATTGGAAGAAAAGGGCTTCTTCCCCAGTGATTTCATCGTCTCCGAGACTACCTGGTTCTACAACATGCTCGGTATCGACGATACCTACTTCCAGACCGAGTCTGTCGACAACATTGTCACCCAGATTCTCTCTCTCTACGCCGCCAAGGTCGCCGCCTATGCTCGTGATGACAAGCAGCTAGAGATCCGCCTCGACAAGGAAGCCGAGGACCACGCCGTCTACATTGATACCAGCCGACCCGGTGTTTCCTCCGTGGATGGCCCCCGCTATGAGCAGCGCATCGATGAGAAGTATATCAACACTTCCAAGGGTTCCAACAGCTACCGTGTCGAGACCTTCCGCTCCCCCACTACTCTTCCCGGCGACGATGGCCAGCAGCTGCGCTGCTACTTCGTGTACAAGTGCCAGTTCGCCAACCCTAACCCTGACCCCAATGAGACCAACATTGAGATCATCGGTGAGAAGCGCTTCCTCCAAAAGGCTACCCCCAACACCAAGGCCATCTACCAAGAGATCATCACCACCGCGGTCAGCCGTCACGGTCCCGTGATTGAAATGTTCGAGATCGAAGGCAGCCGTGAGAAGCGTCTCGTCATTGCCTACCGCCAGGGCTCCGCCATGGGCCTGTTCAGCGCTCTCTCTGATCTGTACCACTATTACCGCCTCACCAGCTCCCGCAAGTACCTCGAGAACTTCTCCAACGGTATTACCGTCATCTCTTTGTACCTGCGTCCCTCGGCCTCGCCCGAGATCTCGGCCAAGTACCCTCCTATCGAGGCTGCCATTCATCAAATCATGAAGGAGGCCTCCCTTCTGTACTGCATCCCTCAGAACCGCTTCCAGGGTCACTTTGCCACTGGCCGTCTGAGTCTGCAGGAGACCATCTACGCGCACTGCGCCTGGGTCTTTGTGCAGCAATTCCTCAACCGTTTGGGCTCCGAGTACACCTCTCTCTCTGCCCTGCTTGATTCTAACAACAGCGTCCACGCCGAATTGCTGTCCAAAATCAAGAAGCGTCTGCGTACGGAGACTTTCACTGCGGACTACATTTTTGAGATCATCAACAACTACCCCGAGTTGATCCACAAGCTCTACCTCGACTTTGCCAACACCCACTATGTCCAGACCCAGGATACTGGGGATGACTTCCTGCCCACGCTCAGCTACCTGCGTCTGCAGGTGGACGAAGTCCTGGATGACAAGAAGCTGAAGCAGTTGATCCGCAACACGGCCGCCAACGAGCACGACGAGATGGTCATGACCTCCTTCCGTGTCTTCAACAACTCCATCCTCAAGACCAACTTCTTCACCCCAACCAAGGTCGCCCTGAGCTTCCGCTTGAAGCCCGACTTCCTTCCCGAGCACGAGTACCCCCAGCCCCTTTACGGCATGTTCCTCGTGATCAGCTCTGAGTTCCGTGGTTTCCACTTGCGATTCCGTGACATTGCTCGTGGCGGTATTCGTATTGTCAAGTCCCGTAACAAGGAGGCCTACAGCATCAACGCGCGCTCGCTGTTCGACGAGAACTACAATCTTGCCAACACCCAGCAGCGCAAGAACAAGGATATTCCCGAGGGCGGTGCCAAGGGTGTTATCCTGCTCGATGTCAACCACCAGGACAAGGCGCGGGTCGCCTTTGAGAAGTACATCGACTCTATCATGGATCTTCTCCTACCCCCAGTCAGCCCCGGTATCAAGGATCCCATCGTCGATCTGCACGGCCAGGACGAAATCCTCTTCATGGGTCCCGATGAGAACACTGCCGAGCTGGTCGACTGGGCCACCGAGCACGCTCGCGCCCGTGGTGCTCCCTGGTGGAAGTCCTTCTTCACAGGCAAGAGCCCCAAGCTCGGCGGTATTCCTCACGACACCTACGGCATGACCACGCTGTCCGTGCGTCAGTACGTGCTCGGTATCTACCGCAAGCTGAACATCGACCCCTCCACCATGCTCAAGTTGCAGACTGGTGGTCCCGACGGTGATTTGGGATCGAACGAGATTCTGCTGTCAAACGAGAAGTATGGGGCTATTGTTGACGGCTCCGGCGTCATCGTTGACCCCAACGGTCTCGACCACGAGGAGCTGATCCGCCTCGCCAAGAAGCGTGTCATGATCTCCGAGTTTGACCTGTCCAAGCTCTCCCCCGCTGGTTACCGTGTTCTCGTTGACGAGAAGAACGTCAAGCTGCCTTCTGGCGAGGTTGTTCACAACGGCATGGTCTTCCGTAACACCTTCCACCTGCGCCACGTGGAGGGTGAAAAGTTCGACGTCTTCGTTCCCTGCGGTGGCCGTCCCGAGTCTATCGACTTGTCTACTGTCGGCAAGCTCATCCAGGACAACAAGTGCATCGTTCCCTACATTGTTGAGGGTGCCAACCTGTTCATTACCCAGGACAGCAAGTTGCGTCTCGAGAAGGCCGGCTGCATTCTGTTCAAGGATGCCTCTGCCAACAAGGGTGGTGTGACCTCCTCCTCGCTGGAGGTTCTCGCCTCGCTCTCGTTCAACGACGAGGAGTTCGTCCAGAACATGTGCGTTCACGAAGACGGCACCGTCCCTGAGTTCTACCAGGCCTATGTCAAGCAGGTCCAGGAGATCATCAAAGACAATGCCGAACTCGAGTTTGAGGCTATCTGGCGCGAGCATGAGCAGACCGGTGTGCTCCGCAGTGTCCTGAGTGATCGTCTCAGTGTGGCGATTACCAAGTTGGACGAGGAGCTGCAGCAGACTGAACTTTGGGACAATGTTGCGCTGCGGAAGTCGGTCCTTGGCAATGCCTTGCCCCGTTTGTTGTTGAACAAGATTGGCCTGGAGACTATTCTGGAGCGGGTAAGTTTGATTCTGAACGTTGTGGCTTGCTTGAAGGATTTAAAGACTAATCTTGCTCGTGTTATAGGTCCCCGAGAACTATCTCCGTGCCATCTTCGGCAGCCATCTGGCCAGTCGGTTCGTGTACCAGTATGGTAACCAGCCAAGCCAGTTCTCCTTCTTTGATTTGTAAGTTACCCCTTCTCTCTTCCGTGCCGTGGTTGAGAAACATCTCCTAATGACTATCACAGCATGACCAAGCGCATCGCCCAGATCCAGTCCTCCTAAACAGCATTAGAGGCTCTATATCGCTTCTCTCCCTTCCATACTTATCCTGTTTTCCTCTTATCTCCCAGTGTCTTTTGTACCTGGATCTCGTTCCGATTCCCATATCATGTCCCAACCTTCAACCCGGTGGGCAAAACCCCCTTCATCCCCCCGATGGTCACCCCTGTCCCTGTCCCCCCTTATACCTTTAATAGCACCGTGATGAATGTATGGCTTAGAAAAAGTTGCTCGTTCAGATTCTCGAGGAGATTCTGGACTTGAAATTTATGAATTTTTTGTTTGGCATTTGGAATAACATTGTGAATGTTGGGCTCCTAGAGCCTTATTATGGAATGCGATTTTCATGGAGTGGGGTTGATGTGTAGATGCTGCTAGAACATAGAGTAGCCCCCGTGATTGTCCTTCGTGTCGGAAATACCGAGATGCTCTATCAAACCTTAATCACATGATCCTCTGAGCTGAATATAATATAGCGAAACTGGCAGGTTTTATTACTTCCAGGTGAAATAACCTCCAGGTAATAACTTCATGACCCCAGTAGGGAAGACGCACAAGTGCTAAGAATAGAAGCCCAGTAAAGACGGGTTGGTGCAACTCGCCGACCATTGACACGTGCACGTGATAATCGACAGCTGAAGAACACGTGCCTTGGACTGAAAACTCGAAAAGATTTACCCTCAGCCTGTGGACTAATAAGTGCATCGATTGACATGATGTGCACGTGCACGGGATGCCAGAGTGCTCAAAGGTGCCACCAATGCAAGAGCTAACGCGGTTGCTAGTGCCGCAGCCTGGTCCAAGTCGCTGATATTGGCAGATGAGCCGGGAGTCAACAGGCCGAGCCGAGTACTCCAATTGATCTTGATGGTACGATCATAGCTCTCTGCATCCGCTCTGTCTCCAAGCGCGAAGCAAAGGAGGAGAAGAAAGTGTAGAACATGCCGATCACAAACATAAATGGCTGACAATCTGAGGGGAATGATCCGAGTAATACCGTATGTGCCCAAAGCCTTCGGTGATATCCCTTGAGACAGTCTGCGTAAAAGCATTCCGAGCAGTACCCCGATGAGATTAGGTGTGATGTGCGGAACAGCCGTAACTGCACATGAGTCACCCTCTCAAAGGCTAACGCTAGCAGGTGACTCGCTCTTTCGAGTGGTGCCCAGTAGAAAATTGCCCCAGTCAGAAATATAGTGAGTGCTATCCCCCCGAAGGGGAAGGGGGCTTGTGACATGTATCTTATACGCAATAGAAGCACAATACCGCAGTGCATATACATCACCGTCCAAGCCAAGAATCGTCGGCGAGAGTGAAAAATCCGGTCACCCTGAATGATTCTATACCGGGATCCCAAGATAGCAATCAGTGATACGCCAACGGCGAATTGAGCGACACAGGCTGCCGCCTCATCTTCTGGCCGCCAAGTCTCCATGTTTGACGTGACCCGTTTAGGGATATAAACCCAGCAAGCAACAACAGGATATATAATGGCAGCCCATTTAGTGGGACCCATTCTTCTCGCCATCTCAGCCTCGGACTGGGTAGTCCGATAGGACCAGAACTGTACCGCGTTGCGAAAGCGAAGCAAGTATTGAGTAAAGTCCGCTCGACTCATCTGAAACCAAGGGTAAGTCGATTCCAGACTCTCCACCAACCGATCACAGCTTTGACCGAATATGCCGTTCTCGTCCTCAAAAATGCCATAATGGACATAGCCCGGATACAGCGATGAATCACGTTTGAAAAACAGTGGGAAGGAATCAAGAACTATCTCCGCGCATTTTGCCTGGAGCAAGAATTTGTCTGGGCATTCTTTCTGTAAAGCATGAATGTTCCGGCCATTGAATTGTATACCATCAATAAATTGTCTCAGGGCGTTCGGTGGTTGTCTACTCTCGTCCATGGCGTCTCGTAAAGTGTACTCCAAAAATCTCTGTAGACATTGCATTTTCCCCGAATTCAATTCAACAAATCCAGGTTGCCCGTTTTTGCAATAACCTCTTGTTCCGCTGACAGGTTTTTCTTGGTAAGTATCTCGAGGATATTTCAGCCTGGTAAAGCTGTGAACCCGATGGGGAATGAGGTACGACTTTTTCCAGATCAGCCGTATTAGGTGTCGGACAGATTGCAGCCAAACAAGTAATCACCCAAGCCCCAAAGGCTCCCGGTCCAAAGTACCCAGAGACGTTCGAATAGTCGAAGGGCTCCACAGGTGAGATAATGAGAAAAATTGTACTGATGGTTAGCAAGACACATCCTAGAGTCCCGGGGCGTCTTGGCCATAACGACAAGGTCGACCGGAATCGCGATCGGAAAGATTGTAATAATCTGAAGATGCTCAGAAACATAGTGATAATTATGAAAGGCCCATTTATTTACCCAGTTCAATAGAGGGAAATAATGTAGCTCAGGCTGGCAGAGCAGCATCTTCATACCGGGCGATGGGTGCTACATATGGGGGTTATTCAGGTGGTAAGGCTGAACGACATAGCCCGCTTGGTTAAGTCTATTAGGGTCGGTGGCGTAAGGCACCTAGGGGACCCTAGGCGCCTACTTCTCTCGCGGAACTGAGGATGAGTCACGCCCTGCCTATTGCACGCTCATCCTTGTCACCGTTGGCGACAACATTATTAGTCCCAGGCTGCACACACTTGACTCCGGGCCGCACAACTACGGATTGGTCGGTAACTCGTTGGGTGGAGGGTCACCAGCGGTCCGATTTCACCGACTTCTTTGATTATTTGGGGGAAACTGTGGTTGTCGCCTTGCTCAGCCCCTTCACCCGAAACACTCTAAAGTACCAAGTCACCGGGATCCCCTGTATGCCTCTGAAAAATTGGCGTATTCCCTCAATTAGGCCTTCAGCTAGGCCCGCCATCTCGCTCGCATTCTCATTCCACAGGCTGCCCCGCCCCCGTCGTCGCTCATATTGGGGTCTGAACTGACGGGTGTTGCGACGGCATCTTCCACACCATACCAACTTTAAGCATATCAATAACATTGTTAGCCATCGCCTGCCAAACGCTGTACCATACTCAGCACCCAGTAGTATCGAGTAGTCTTTCCAGAGGAGGATGAAGCAATGACCGCACTACTCGAATGGTTGAGCGGGTCCAATGGGTTTATGAGCAGCTAGGACATCTCTAGGTAAGGGCAGCCTGAGCGAAAGAACTGCAAAGCTTAGCCAGTCATCACTGGTCCAACAAGCTGGTCCAGTTAGATCAAAAACCATTATTGTTGCGACTTGCCTATCAACTTGCCGCGGACCGACCTTACGGAACCGTCAGGCTCTCTGTAGTGTGAAAACTGTGAGATGCAGACGGGAATTGCTAATAGATCACTACTCTAATGCCTACCCGTCCTTTTTATTTCCTAGGGGGTGCAAAATTTTTCATTTACGCTATTAGGTCAAATTTAGCGGATCATATAATTAGGATTTCAAAGAATATCTCTATATTTTCGATATATAAGGCACTAACGGTCGCTGATATGATTCGGTTATGAGCTGAGAGTTCAAGTATTGACTCTTCGAGATACTCAGCTGTTATGTTAAGGGGGATGTCATATATAAGTAGGGTGACATTAACGACACGACAGAAAGGTTCATGGCACGACGAGGCTAGTTCTTACGAGGAAACCCCCCTTCCTTTCAATACAACATGCTACATTCGAAATTCACAAAATACCTACCGAGTCATTATGTATAAGTTATATTAATACTTTTCGTCAATATCTTTAGCGACTCTATATATAACGTCTATCTATTTATCCCTAAAATAGACTAAGTTATTATTCCACTCCCCCTCTTACTATCACCCATTTTTCGGTCTTTTCTATGGTCTTTTCTATGGTCTTTTTTAAGATATAGGCTTATACATACATAAGGACCCTACTGATATTTTCTAAATCTTGAATGTAGCATTTTGTATTGAAGGGGTGGCGCTCCTTATCTAGGACTAGCCTTGTCGAGCCGTTAATGCCATCCTGCAAGTAGGTCATCCGAACCGAGATGGAACGGCTCGGTTCAGCGATTCGCCCGAACTTGGACGTATCATAAGAACTAACCTGGCTCCGGTGGCAACGAGAATGGTGGCGTTATGGCGTGGGGGTACTGTCTAAGTATGGCCCGTTTAGTTCTTGCCAGATGCTTCGCCGAGTGGACCATTCTTTTGTAGATGAGGGTCAAATATAGGTATAGACATATCACTACCTGTATTGCGTTTCTTGAATGGGATTTTGGGGGAAAAGAAGATTTTGGATGATACTAATCGCATATTTCAAGCTGAGATTAGAGATTGGGAAATCCGGAGGCAAGATTGCTATGGATATTCCACTAGAACTGCTGTATCTGAGACTAAGAGAAGAGACGAGCTTATGCTCCCTTGTACACTGTTTAATAACCAGCGTAGTATCCACAAGAGAAAAGATTCCAACATCGACGCCGTCCGTCTCATCCCCACCTTTAAAATTCAATATCCCATACTCACTCTTTATCAACCGCGTACCTCCCAGTAACGGCGCGAATCTTCTTCCCCCAAACAAATATCGGAACCCCCAACAACCCAAACGCCGCCGTCAATCCACCAAACGTGGTAAATGCACCATCGTACCCATTCCGCTCAATAAACGGCGAAATTCCATAACTAACACCAAAAGAAATAATTCCCCTAAACGCACAAATAATAATCAACAACGAACTCGCCCTCTGAGGATAACTGTCAAGCAAGTACGTGATCGCCACAATATTCGCGCCCACGAACGCGAAATAATAAGCCGCCACGGCCCAAACGTCGACAAACCAGTGATAAGACGATGGATACGTCGCACCGTACCCGTATAGGACCGCGGTGAAAGTACCGACGATAATGGGGAAGATGAGTGGTAGCATACGGATTTCCGGCTCGTGGATGCCGTTTCGGCGTCCGGCGAACCAGGTGATTAATTTATCGGAGCCGAGGCCAAATACGGGGAGGGCGACGAGGGATGTTACGATTTGGCCGCAGTTCACGTAACTGACTGACTTTTGGGCCCAGTTGTATTTCGAGGTCATGATTGTGCCGTAGGTAGTCCCGATTGCGATGTTGACGCCGAGTGTGAGGCCGTTGAGGGCCATTGCCCAGAGGACGTTGGGGAAGAGGAGGAGTTGGAAGGATTGCTGAGCGGGATGTTAGATATTTAATTTTGGTTGTGATGGAAATAGACTTACGATGAATGTATCCATCCCCTTACGCCATTCGGGCGAGCCGACCCAAAGACGCAGATCGGAGCGCCAAGTACGAGCTTCGTAGTTGACATAGTCAAGGGCCGGTCGCTCTGTAGCGACCGTGTGGACTTCCTTCTCTGATGATGCATCCAAGCCTTCGGTGGGTGAGGTTTCTTGATACGAGGATCGAGAGCGGTGGTACTTGGTCTCTGGGACGAAGAAGAATGCTAGAATCAGGGATGCTCCAGAGAGACATGCGCCCAGGCCATACCACCACTCCGGAGTGATAGCTTCTGCGATGGGACTGGCAAAGAGAACGAAGACAGCAGTGGCGATCGTTTGGATGGACTGTTGGAGCATGAGGAAGGTGCTTCTTTCGTGGAGGAAGAAGATTTCCTAACGTAATGTAATGAATTAGCATCGGCATATAAAATTAGGAATGCCATTTGGGAGTTATTCATCACGACTTACCTGGGTGATCATAGGCACAAGAGCCTCGCTCTGACCTGCGGCAAGACCGATAATCATACGCGCCCCAAGGTGCCACTCGAAGTTCGTTGCAAAGACACATAAGATGGCTCCGACGACCATGACAGCTGTTGCAACGAGTAGGACAAGGCGTCGGCCAACTGCAATCGCCAATGGCATGCCGATCAGGTTACCGATACCCCTAAGCAGGGTTAGCAAAAGCACCAAGAGGATTAAATATATCATATGACTTACATGAATAAGGTCGGGTATGTCATAAGAGAGGTAATATCGGCATAGGTTGCACCCGCAGCCGAATATCCAGGAATATAGAAGCCTAACAGGCCGCCAAATCCAGAAACGAGTGACAATCCAATAGTCGAGACTGGGCTAGTCAGTATGCCTCGAGTAAATATCGGTAGAAAGCCTACATATAGAGATTGTAATCAGAATCATGGCCTTTTGCCACTTGCTCATGTTCAATGGATCTGGGAATGGTCAGTTGATACGTGATCGAAGTCCTTGGCTGAGAGACAAACCTCGAGGATCACTAGTAGGAGTTGGGATATAGACGATCGAGCCTGCAGTGAGCTGTACGGTTCCACTGATATTCACTTTGGACTGAGAGACATGGATCTCCTCGCCTTGGCTCTCAGCATCATGCACAGTCTCCACATGGTTCGAGAGTGATTCTTTCTCCATGATGACCGCTGGAGTGGTGGTATTGGGAACAATTGATTTAGATGGACTGCGCAGCGAACTGGCTTGAATAGAAGCAGGCCATGGAGCGAACGGCGGGTGTTTATAGCACTTGCGAATGTCCACGAAACCCTATCGGGAAAGGTTCACCACCTTGGGGTGTCTCGTGCTGCACTAGGGCAGTTAATTCGTTGGTGAACGGCCAGAACTATCGATCGAGTAAACCGAGTCATTGTCCACCTAGGCCCCAAGCCCGCCCACATGGAAAGCAAAACCCCCGCACTTTATGAGTTCGGTCTCAGTGGGGAAGACTGGGGAAGACTGGGGAAGACTGGGGAAGTGGAGGAGGGAGAAGGCTGGTTGAGGGGATTCGGGTAGAACCCCAACCGACCCGAAGTGCCACTGAAGAACTAAGTTTCAAGTGCCGAGAAATGGGTAGAAACTTTGACTAGAACTGCCGACAGCTCTAATGAGTTTGGATTAAGTGCCACCACCGTTTTAGCTGACCAATGCGCTTTTTCCAAATTCACTATGCCGCAGGACTGGTAATGTTGAGTACTGGATAAGTAGTAAATGTGAAAATCAATGTATAGGTGCACACAATGTAAGGAAATCTCCCGATCCCAACTCGACGAGTCAAGTTGCTCCGTACTGTACTATCTCTAGCCTATCACCAAGGATTCGAGCGATGCGGGGGTATTTTAAACTTTTTGTATAGACTTTGTATTCTTCTTCAGTCTAGATAAATCGATGTACACTTGAAATCAAACTATCTCTAAATGGACAGACAACTTGATCAAATACAAGTTGTAAAACGAACAATTTAGTAAGGCTTAACGCCAGCCAATTGAAGCACCTGATCGGTGATTATCGGCTTCTCGAATGGCTCAGTCCTGTACTTAGAGCAGACCTCTCCATCCCTCATAGGCTTTTCCTCGGCAGGACGAATGTTGCTAAAGCAAAGTTAGTCATTGTCACACTCTTCATAACTCCAAAAATAAATACAAACTCACCAATGCGGCCAATGGGTAGTACCAATGAACTTTTCAAAACAGTACTTCTTCGCCTCTAAAGCCTCCTCATCTGCAAACTTCCTCGGCGTCATGCAGATATACTGAACATGGCGGATCTGCTCACCCTCAGGCAGGCAAGCGTAGTGCATGGTGCGGGAATCCCAAAGGACAAAGTCACCGGGCTCCATGTCAATCTTAACCATTTCGCAGCCTCGCTCCTCAAACCATTGGATGTCCTTCTTGCTGAAGAGGAATAGGTCCATGTACTGAATCTCAGGAGGGGGGGCGTCTTCGTGGTCTGCAGATTCGCGCTTGTGCTCGAAGAATTCATTGAAGAGGTTTGCGGATCCCTTCATGAGCATAAGACCACCGTCCTTAGGACCATTGGGGGCGTAGTTCAGGAGACCCTGAACTGCTTGCATACTACATCATTTTTGTTAGCAACAATGATCTCCTAAGGTGAATGTAATATTACCTACCCCTTACGCTCTGGGTTCTGATCACAGTGGGGCCAAGGACTCCAGTTAAGATCCTTGCGGTTCGGCAGAGAGATATTCATCCCGTCAAACGAGGTGATTAATTCCTTGGTACCCCAGAGCCTCTCGAAAATCTCAACAACCTTAGGCTCAGTCCGAGCCTCCCACGCCATCCTTTCATGGGGCGCACAATAGGCAAAGTACATACCTCCCTTGAAGCTGACGGGAAGGTGCTCGGCAGTCCAGGTGTCCGGGTTCTTTTCGTCAAACCCAAGCTCAAAGTTCTTCAGCCACTGGATTTGCTTGTCGCAGTAGTACTGTGCGCGCTCTGGCGTGATGACATTCTTGATCAATACACAGCCATTCTTGTGAAACTCGTCGCGCCAGTCGCCGTAGACTTGATCCTTGTCGAAAGTGATCAAGTCTTTGGTTTCGAAGCGGGGGGCAACTGTACGCTGCTTGGTCTCGGTGGTGGTGGACATGATGATGATCTTGGTTTGCAGAATAAAGATGATATTTGTGTACCGATTTTTTGAAGCTTCAACATTTGAGTTATGGTTTATTTGTATAAGAAGAATTTCAGCGAGCAAATTGTAAGACATGCAAAGTGCATTCGGTTCGGCTCGACTTGTTCGGTTCGGTTCAGTTGTATCCGTTGCTTGTCGATCCCCCGCAATTCCGGGGATTCAACTGCCTCTATCAACAAGCGACCCACAACAATGCAGTCAGTGTCCAGCTCATGACTCGGATGAACTTGAGAGTTCTCTCGGCCGATGTGCCAACCGAGCTCGGTAGCCTCTTTCTGTGTGATCTTCGCAGAGTGGCACCCACTTTGATATTGCTAAAGTTTCGGATCGGCGACCTCCACCAACCGAGACCCAGTACTAACACAGCTTTATGTTAGGCACAAATAGCCACTAAGATTTGATAATCCTATTTACTTATCTTTATTAAAATTCTTCAGGTATTCACGCTACCTTGACTACCTCCAACTCCATTCGCTATCTTTTCCCTTCATCACCATGCCTATTCCCTACCAAGTCGCATACAAGCCATTGAACAAGCCTGAAATAGGCGTCAATGGCTATGTTGAACCTACACCTGGCAAGACAGAGGTCATTCCAAAAGGCTCAGCACCATTCAATGCCAGAACTCTAGACTCTGACGTCCGCATCGACCACGATGTCGAAATCGTCGTTAGAGACGGCTGCCGACTGTATGCAGATATCTACCGACCAACGAGCGATGAGAAAGTCCCAGTTATTATTTCCTGGTCTCCCTACGGCAAGAAATACTCCGCCTTGGACATGATCTTCAATGTCTGTACTTGGGCTTGCTGTATTGAGCGTGGTGACGTGAGCGGACTTGAAAAATTCGAGGGTCTAGATCCAGCGTGGTGGGTCGCGCATGGCTACGCGATTGCCAGCGTCGATGTCCGAGGAGCTGGTAACAGCGACGGCGATACCCCTTGCATGGGATTGCAAGAAGCCGAAGATGCGCATGATGTGATCGAGGCTCTTGCGAAGCTGTCATGGTGTAATGGCAACGTTGGTATGGCAGGCAATTCATACCTCGCCATCATGCAGTGGCACGCAGCTGCTCAAAACCCTCCTTCACTGAAAGCTATCGCGCCTTGGGAGGGCTCGGGAGATATCTTCCGTGAGCAATTCTGCCGAGGAGGATGGTTTAACATGAGCAATTACGATCTTATCACGACTCTTGTGATTAGAGGTCAGGCTGGAGTTGAGGACTTTGCGGAGATGTACCGCCGGCATCCACAAGCCAACGTCTACTGGAACGATAAACGTGTGGATATGAAGAAGATCAATATTCCATGCTTTATCACTGGTTCCGATTTCAGCCAGATTCATACCATGGGTGCGATTCGAGGATGGATGGAGGTTAATACCGACAAGAAGTGGATCAAGTGGAGTGGTTACCAAGAGTGGTTCGAGCTTTACTCGGAACCTGAGAGTTATCTGGAGTTGAAGGTAAGATAGACATCCTGACTTTCTTGTGGACATCACTGACCAAGATTAGAAATTCTTTGACAAATACCTCAAGGAAATTGACAACGACTGGGAAGAAACACCTAAAGTTCGTTGGACAACTCTTCCATTCGGCGACAAAGACGTGACAAGCAACATCGTCCTCCCAGACTTCCCCGTCCCGGAGACCGACTACCGCACGTTCTACCTCGCTCCGAATGGCTCGCTCTCGTCCGAGCTTCCTTCTCAAGCTCAAGCTGGCACTTCTGTATATAACTCAGAAGACCGGTGGTCGATTTCCAAGTTCAAGCATACCTTCTCTCAGAAAAGTCGTCTCCTGGGCCTCCCCAAAGCAGAGCTTTATATGAGCTGCGATGCATTAGACGATATGGTCGTCTTTATCCAGATGCGAAAGCTCGATAAAGAAGGCAAAGAGCTTTCCCAACTCCAATTTCCCTTCAGTCGTGCCCCAGTCAACTCGATCGATGAAATCTCCGACAAGGATCGCGGCAGCGTCACCTTACACAACGGTTCGATCGGCATTCTTCGCGCTTCCCAGCGCAAGATCGATTCTAGTCGGTCTATCCACCCGCAATTTCCATTCCACCCCCACGATGAAGTGCAAAAGGTTCCAAGGGGAGAAATTGTCAAGTTGGAGATTGGTATCTGGGCTATGGGAGTTGACTATGAAGAGGGTGAGAGCATCCAGGTGGATATTCTGGGACAGTGGCCGGGCTTTGATGAAGTTGCCGCTTTCCACAAGCCTAGACCTGAGCATGAGCGGAATAAGGGTGAGCATACTATTCATTTTGGAGCTGACTATCCCAGTCGGGTCATTTTGCCTTTTGTGCCTCTGTAGCCATCCCTCGCTTTAGAAGGTTGTGGCTGTTTGTTCTATATAGCATAGATAGATGTTATCACTTGTGTTCTCTAATTATGACGATATAGTTGAGCTAGTACATGCTAGAGTGAGAAATCAAAAATCCCGGTAGCTTCGCTTTCTGAACATACAATTTCGGTAACAGCATTTTTTAAGCTCGACACGCTCGACATACTGAGCTTTTCTCGGAGAATCTCCGTGATCAGGAAATCGCGCTAACTTGATGCGCCGAGCAGGCTCCAATAGTGGGTATGATGATGAATGCAATAAGGTTCGGCTCGGTTTGAATGCTCGGAAAATGCGGGGGCGGTCCAGATACGCAGTTGTTGAAACAAAGATAATGAGAACGCGAAAATAGCAAGGCTCTCGAAAGCGATAGGTGTAATAGATATCTTGTAGTTCTAGTTAATTATTCATGATACATGCAGGCCTATTAAATCATTCAAAGTGTCTCGTCGGAAAGATAGGGAAATCTCAAGCTTGTATGAGGAATATCCATAGTGCTCGGCAAGAGCCACCCCCACCGTACCGTAAGATTGGTATATATTGGGTATAGCTACCTCGGCACTTCGGTTTGCGCCCAGCCGAGAGGCCTAGCATCTGCTCTCTCCCCCGAAACGACTCCCATCTCGGTTCACCTGCATACCATTGATCACCACACTTCTATCCTTGTTAAGCTGATGTCATTCGAAGCCCATTCCGAATGTATACCTTTCCCGCACGAGGGCGGAGGCCGTGCCGAACACGAGCCCCCAGCAACGAGAGGTGCATCTACACCGATTAAGCCGATTCGATTGGCCCTTGCCTGTAACCAATGCCGAAAGCGCAAGGTCCGCTGTGATGCGCAGCAACCAAGTTGCCGTAATTGCAGTGTCAGGGGGGATGTTTGTGAGACTTCGGATCCTAGGAAACCCGGCAATTTCCCCGCTGTTCGGAGGCGAGCTACGAGGTGCTGTCAGAAGGCGAGAGGGGAGGCTGGAAAGTGTTTGTCCCCGGCGCGTCATTGTTTGAATACATTGACGCCAGCCGCGGGGAGCTCTATCAATTCCGTATTGAATCCGCCCGGCCCTTCCCCGGATACCTCCGTAGATCATACTTCGCCTCGTGCCAGGGGAGTTTCAAGGAGCTCCGCTATTCCTGGTTCGTCAGAGAGCCCAGCAACTTCATCGTGGCGTACGACTCGGAGTGAGAGGTTAGGCGAAGACCACTTTTCCTGGCAATCTAGGGCATACCAAGACGTTGCAGAGGATCAAGGGCAGGATGTCGTCCAGGAACATAATACACCAGAACATGAAACGATATTGACCCCGGATGAAGCTGTTAACACGGATGATCCCACAACAAATAAGACAAAGGTCAGTGTCTCATCCTCTATCTGATCTCTCATAAAGACATGCCCTAATTTGAATAACCCGCAGCACCTCGGCGCAAGCAGCGTACAAAGCCTCTTCAACTTTGTGGATCTACATCTCGCACGACATGGCTTCAGTCATGCCACCCCTCTGTTCAAGCATGGCATGCTACATACCGAGGAGTTTCCAATGCCTTTAATGCCCAAGCTGCTCATGCTCCCCGATCGTCAAACCTTGTCAATCTACATCGATGCTTTTTTCTCACGGCTATGGCCGATCTACCCCGTCATCGACCGCGCCTCCTTCGAAGCAGATATAGAAATAGTCCTCGGCTTACAAGCAGCCGGGTCTACATCGTGGCAAGAACAAGTCACACTATCTCATATTCCCGCTCTTGCTTCCGTCTACGCCCTGATATCTCTTTGCATGAATGAGATATCAAGAAATTCGGAGCTGAGCTTTGATTATCTCACGGCCAGCCATAGTCTACATGGGCATTTGACTGCCATACCATACATGGCCAGTGTCCAAGCTCTTTTCCTTCTAGCGCTGGCACTCAGGGCTATTGCCAAGGATGGCCAGGCGTGGCATGTCATCGGCCATGCAATTCGTATGGCTCAATCTATCGGACTATACAAGTCTGCGGCAAAACACTCGTCCGAAGACGGATTCACTTTGGGCTGTCAACCCGAGAGCTTGAAAGAACGACTCTGGTGGTCATTATTCGGGCTGGAAAAGCTCATGCAGCTAGAATGTGGCAGGCCATCTATCATCGATAGAATCTATGATTGCCTCACCGTCAATTACTCGGACAGCACGGGTTCGGAGCACATAACCCCGTACTTTCGGGCATGGGTCGCATTGAGTAGTATCATGGGCAAAATATCGAACCGTCTCTACTCGCACAAGTTCATGGGCGGATCTGCCGAGATGCTCGGCGCAGTCGCAAAATTAGATCAGGAGCTTCTCGAGTGGGAGGATGCCCTGCCAGACACATTGAAGCCTCGAAAGCCATTGACCGACCACACTGGACATGACCATAAGATCCTCGCAACTTTTCTCTCCCAGCAATACTACCAGGTGAGATTCCACCCAAACATCCGTACTACCCGGAAGTGACCACTCACATCCATCGCAGGCCCAGCTCAGCATCCTCCGCGTCGCAGTAATCTTCCCGCACCAAAGTATAAAACGTGAAGTCGAGAAAAACATCACCAGCCTGCCCCACCACACCCGCCTCCTGGACGGGCCCTTGATATGCGCAAACGCAGCAAGAACCCTCGTCACACAATCCCTCCAACTAGCGGACCGCGAACTAAAATCCACACTCCTGAACGTCTCCCCAACCTACCTCGCAGCAGTTATTCTCGCACTCGGCGTCCTTCGTCAACCAAACAGCCGACTCGTCAGATCAGATATTGAACTTTTGGTTTCAGCAACCGAGTACATAGAGAGTTGGTATTTACAGCGCGGGTTTACTTCGTCGTTTACGCAGACGTGTACGCATTTGCGTGAGAGGATGGTTTCCGTGTTTCAACGGGGCAATAATAGCCAGAAGGCTACTGCTACCGTGGTTAGTTCGGCGGATTCGGGGTGTGAGATGAGAGAGGGACAATTGTCACAGCCTGCTGTACTAGGCTCGAGTGATCGGTCAGTACTCTCTGGAGGTGGGCTTGCACGATCGAGTCTTCAGGCAGTTTCTGTGCCGAGTGCGGTCGACCCGGGTGTGGAGTTGTTTGGGGATTTTGAATTCGAAGATCTGTGGAACATGACGGGGTTGGATTTTATGGTTTATGATGAGGAGAATCCGTTATTTGCACAATAGGGTCAATGAAATCACCTTATCAATCTGGAAAAGGGTTTTCAAGATCTTGTTTATCCAAGCAGGACGGAAATCCAGCTGTGGCTGGTCCATACCACTGATCAGGGTACAAAGTCAATTAATCGGCACCCAAGAAGCCAATGTGCAGATCGAAATGTTGTCGATAGAGTCACTGTGATAAACCAGTGGAACTAATATAGAAAGATGCATAAATGACCCAGACGCACGTAAATGCGATGCAGGCTCAAGATAGAAAGGTAAATAATGCAATAAAACGCCATTCATGGATAAAAGTTTCGAGATATTCCCCTCTTCCCCTCCAGATCCAAATTCCAACCTCCACCAGCTCATAACAATCATAGATCAAGGTTGATGATCCTCATCAATTGATTCGCACCCGATACTCGTGTCTCACAAACTCCGCCATGATCAACACGATACTAACCGCCTACCCCAGAACCGAAACAGTCAGTATACTCATCCGAAACACCAAAACAGCATATATCAAAAAGAATGCTTCAAACTTACAAGCAATAAATCCACCCCCTCGGCAACACCAACCTCCCACCGATCCATCGGCCCACTCAACTGGAAATCCATCATCACCTTTTCCCTCCGAATCGAAACGATCTTCTTCTCCCCCATCATCACCGCCGCGACGGTATTACTCATCTGCACAACCCTCAATTCCGCCCTCTCCTCCACCGCAGCCTCCGAGTACCTGCGCGCGGGCGGGAACGCATACGCATAACTCGACGCCGGGGCCGGTTCGGCCGGTGGCTCGACCGCGTCGAGGAGTTCACGGAGGGAATGCGTCGAGCGGCGGTGCGCGGACGCATACGAGGGGAGGTGCGTGGATTTCGAACTGACAGTGTCCGTCGAGCGGCGACGGCGGATAGCAGGGACGGAACCCGGTCCTGCCCCTGGTGCAGGGTTCCCAGAGGCAGTGCTGGAACTGGCGATGGCGCTGTACGGGGGCGGGGGTGAAGTGTATCGCCCGTACTGTTGATGCTGGCGTTGCTGGCGTCGACCACCACGGCCCATGCCCGCACGGCTGTGCATAGCGTAGGGGTAATACTCGCTCTGGAAGTCGTCCTCGTTTTCGTTATCGCTGTTTCGCCCCGCGCCGACGAGTAGCGCGTTGCGTACTCGCACTGCCATTTTCATTTTCACCCCCGCGCCCCACCGCATCTCTGCGCCCATGAGTTCGTCGCCGCCGCCGCCGGCGCGTTTCACGCTCCATGCGCGCTGCCACCACATGCGCCGCAGCTCGAGCAGGGGTCTTCCGGCGGCATCGCGGATCTCGCGTGCCTGGGTGCCGCTCCAGAATTTCCCGGTTACGGTGTATAGCAGGGAGCGGCGGGTGGGGCTGTCGTAGGGTTCGTGGGTGCGGAGGTGGTGTACGCTGAAGGCGCGGCCGGAGAGGGTGTTGTTGCGAGTTATTGTGAGGGTTGTTGGTGTGTTGGTGAGGCGATCAGGGGCGGGGGCGAGGAGGTGAGTGCGCCGTAGGGCGAGCGGGTGGTCTGGTGGTTGGAGGGATGTGGGCATTTTGGCAGGATTAAAGTGGAAATAGGAGGGGAAATCGTGTGTGCATCTGAAACAGGTTTTACGGATAGGAAAATAATCTCTACGGCAGATTAAAAGAAAAGAGAAAAGAGCATGAGAGCACGGTCAGAACAGAGTGGGAGAGGCGATAGTAAGAAAGTAAAAAGAGGGGGAGGTTAGGCGATAGGTACGAGGCTCTCGTCTTGCATGATGTGCTTACCCCCCTGGCTTAGCTTGAAAGATAGTTCTTCCTCTAGTCAAACCTATCATACAGCTCGCGTGCACGGTGTATTAGCCAACCACCCAGTAGATATCCTGAACAGGTTGTGGCGCAGTGCGGAGGTCAATGACGGCGCGGGGTGGAGGGTCTTGGCACGGTGAACTCGTCGAGTGGTGGTGGTTGATTATGGTAATTCCCGCAGTGGGCTAGGCAGCTAGGCAGCTATTTGCGTGATCTTGGCAGGTCCGCTCGAATCAGCTGGATTCGGGGCATCTAGAACGGTAATAGTCGTACGACAAGGAAATTTGGTGGGAGGTGTAGTACAGTTGGGTAGATCTATCGCGGGGTATGGACCTCGGCCCCGCTAGCTGCCGCGCTCTGAGCATGGATGAATTGAACGTGAAACACTTTGTCGAGCAGAGATATCTCGATTAGGATCTTAGTCGAGCGGAAGTTCTGTCCATCGTACAGACACGGCCAAGATACCCGAATGAACTCTCCGCTGGGTGGCTGGAACTAGCGGGGTGACGGTGATAGGCTCTAGACTGGAGCTCGATAGCTCTCATAGCATATCATACCACAAACGGCTAGGATCTACACTGCAACGCAGAGACCAGATTCAGCAGAGCTGTCAGACATCACGCATGTTTCAGTCGAGCCTACGAAACATGTCATCGTGTATCTTCGCCGTGATAATTATTGATGAGCGACCGTAGTGTAGCTGATGTATGAATGACTGCTGGATTAGTCTCTCTCTGCGATGCTTGGCATTGTCCGTTTGGGAGAGCTCTGGAGTGCCGGAGAAATTAGCACAGTAAAAGACCAGAGTCTCGCTACGCTATGATCGCGATGACTTGATTTGAAGTACTTACAACCTTGGCTTCTGTATTAAAGGGGCATGTTGACCCAAGTCGAGGCATATTTACGTGAAGCATACTTTGAAGTTTCTTGGTGCTTTACTTCTTGCACGATATAAATAGGAGAGGGATCATTCCGCGGGAAAGGTACTACTACGTAAGGAAAGCCCTCGGGACGAACGCAGGCTTGTGGCGATGAGCTAAGGATTTTGCCCCATGCCAGTCGACGAACTTGATAGAACGAGACTAGCTTGCTCGGTTCAAGATCGGGTTGGGGCACATCTATCAAGGAGATTACTTCGCATGGTCGAGGATGGCAATCTGCACAGTCGGATATATATCTTGTATTTGGAGCATGAATACATCGAGTGTCGTGGACCCATTTATTGACTCATAAGTACAAAGAACAAATAATATTTCGAAGCTTCAGAGAGGTTGATATTCCAATCATGCGACAGGATTTCATCTTTATTCACTGCCTTCAAGGACTGGCAATTTTCTCGGCTGGACCAGTACCTCCAACGGTCCGGGATAATCACGTGATAACAAGAATCTTCTCGCGATGCAAGCTGGACCCAGTTCATGATCATCCACAAGCTGCATCTATGCCATCCGATCACTGCATCTTCTAGAAAAAGAAAAAAAACGTCATGCCGCGTGGTCCAGAGTGTTTCAAATCAGCGACCGAGGCGTGGCCATGGCCGGCGTTGGCCTAGCGGCGATGTAGCTATTTTGAATCTGCAACTAGAGCTACGCCAAAGTTGTGGTGGCTTACTTAGAAGCCCTATCCACGATCTATTCCGCACAACGATCAATCCAGGGTACACATCCAATGTAGAGCTAGACTCAGAAATTTCGTGCAGTGTCGGAGATAAACGCAGCCGTTACGCCACCGGAGCTAAAAATAACCGGAGCCGTGGGAAAGGGCCAAATCGACGCCTCGAGGGAATCTAGAATGTGCGCCGAACATGCCACTAGCTTGAGAAATTTTCAGTGTGGCTACATTTATGTGGCGGGGGGATGAGTATAGGGCAGATGGTGGGATGGAAGTAGGATCACTACATGGAACGAAGGACATTGTAAAATGTTCCTTGATGGACATCGTACTATTTCTTGCGATCGACGGGTGCCGGGAGGAATACCCGGTGACAGACCTATCGATCGTCAATGTTCTGACTAGTCCGAATCCAACATCCCTTATGCCGCTTAGTGATCGGCCTAGACCCTTACCTCGGTGGTACTGTACACAATGCAGCCATGACAAAGGGTGACTGGCGTTTTTGAGCCGGAATCTAGCTGGACGATGTGGGTCGGGCGAGGGAATGAATGGTCCACGTGGGACGAAGAAGGAGCCGGATAAAAGTTCGAGAATCACGAGGATGAATGTTTTGGAAGGATGGAAGATGGTGTCTCAAAGTCTAAGCACTGCTATAATTGTAAATTGAATGCGCGGGACTTGTTGACCTGTTTAGGTAAGATCATGCCAGGACGACGGGAGAGTCCGCCGGAGAATGGGCGGAGGATGATGATGATGATGGACAGAGGAGGTGTACTACAGCACTGCGGTACTCCCAACAGTTCTATAGTTCTACCATGTTACAGTTCTACCGTGTACAGGACTGTACACTGTCCAGTTCGTTCCCGAGTAGGCAAGTCACAATGCAGCACTAGTGCCGCTTGTGGCGGAGAAGCTTGTTTCTCTGGTTTGGTGACAAGCCTATAGGGACCGAATCTCATAATTATGTAGTGATGACTGCTCAAAAATTCAGTTCCCGTACCTTGATCTTCGTGCCATGGGTTTTACCAGGAACCGCGATCACCGTGCTTCCGCTTGGCAAACGGGACCGGTTCCGATCTCCCGACTACCCCGACACGAATTGCCATCTGCCATGCCATCCCGGGTAGAAGTGGAGCATCGTGAAGAAAAAAGGAGTTTCGAGTCTTCTGACGCGGCCATCTCCCTCGCCATGACTCGCACACCCCACATAAGCGACGTGGGTCAATGGAGTCAATCCGTGCCGGTCTGGGTTCTCCGGCTCTCCTCATTTTCTCTGGTCTTGCGCCTCCTTTTCCACCTCCCCTGGCCTTTTCTTTCATGCCCTTGTCCTTTTCTTTCCTTTCTTCCCTCCCCCGGAAAACTGTAACCTGTGGCCATTGGTGGGGTCCTGCTCGTCCTGCTCGTCCTCGGAGCCTCCCTCCATTGCTTTGACAACCTTTCCAATCTCGAAACCGAGAACTGCAGAGCCAAACCACCCCCAGCAAATCTCTCACCAAAGACCAAATCAACAAACTACCTCTTCCGAGCTATCCGGTCAGTTCGGGCAGGCCCCGAACTTGCCCGTGGTAAGAACGTCGGAATGTCCGACTTTGATGAAAAGAACCCCGAAGCTTCTCGTCTGCCCTCCGTGCAAAGCTCTTTGACTGCGACGGCCGAGGAGGAACGTGAACCTCTTCGGGAAGACGGGCACTTGGAGAGTTCTCAAACTGCGGTAGATCATCACGACACAGCCAGCGAGATACCCAGTACCGCTTCGCTTCCCCAACGATGGAAGACGGTCAGTCAACGCATCCGCCAGCGCGCAGGCACCATTGCCGAGGCACTGGGCCGGCCGCATGAGCGCGAGGCCGACGGTCTGGACGCCAGCTTTTCGCCAGAAGATTACGGTGCAACGGATGATATCAGAAGCTACGAGGCTCGGACCGCCGCAGATGAAGAGGAGAGACTCATGGGGACGGATCATAACTCGCAGGCTCAGCAATTGCTGAACCAGCTGGGTCTGAACCGACATCGGAGATACCCGAGTGGCCCTCATCGCGAGACGGAGCCGCGATCTGGGTTGACAACCCCCGGTGCGATGACCCCCAATGACAGTGGAGCATCGACACCCCTCAATGGGGGTCTACTCTCGCATCTATTGCGGGTGTATGCCAACAATCTGGAGTCTGCAAGCAGGATGAGCGTCGCCACGACGGCGGCAGCTTCGGACCCCGACATCGAGACTTTGCCCGCCAAAACTCCGGGCACCGGTACGCCTGGCACCGCTACGCCCATGAGCATGGGCATGGGAGCGGCGACTGGCACTGCGGCCACGCCCGGAACGGGCACACCTACGGGCAAGAAGGAAAAGGTCAAGTGGTATAAGAACGGCAACAACAGCAAGGAGAACGTGAGCGCAAAAAGGGCCTCAAAGCATCACTACACCTCTTCCTTGATCCAAGCTTCGATGGATATGGGACGTGTGGGTGTCCCCGGCGCCGAAGGTCCCGCGCCAATGAACGCCAAAGAACGACGCAAGGAGAAGAAGAAGAAAGCCAAGGAGGTCAAGCTGACCGTGCATATCGCTGCACTGCTGGCGCGCCAGCAGTATATCATGCAATTGTGTCGCGCGCTGATGAAATACGGCGCACCCACCCACCGTCTCGAGGAATACATGATGATGACCTCCAACGTGCTCGAGGTCAAGGCGCAGTTCCTGTACATCCCTGGCTGCATGTTCATGTCCTTTGATGACCCATTGACCCGCACGGCCGAGGTCAAGATTATCCGCGTCGTGCAAGGCCTAGACTTGTCCCGACTCGCGGAAACGCACAACGTGTATAAAAACGTGGTACACGACGTGATCAGCGTGGACGACGCAACAAACCATCTCGACACGATCATGCAACGCAAACCGCGCTATAACCGGTGGATGCTTATTTTACTCACGGGTCTTGCCAGCGTCGCAGTAGGACCATACTCGTTCTCCGCACGACCCATCGACCTCCCCATCATATTCGTCCTAGGCTGTCTAGTCGGATTCATGCAACATGTCCTCGCCCCTTCCTCAGCAACATACTCCAACGTCCTCGAAGTATCCGCCGCAATCCTCACCTCCTTCCTCGCCCGCGCCTTCGGCAGCATCACCCACAACGGCGAGCGCGTCTTCTGCTTCGCCGCAATGGCCGAATCCTCCATCGCAATGATCCTCCCCGGGTTCGCCGTCCTCTCGTCCTCCCTCGAACTCCAAAGCCACCAAATGAACGCCGGCTCCATCCGAATGGTCTTCACACTCATCTACTCCCTATTCCTCGGCTACGGTGTCACAGTCGGAACGACCATCTACGGATTAATGGATAACAACGCCACCACGGAATCAACCTGTTCAAACGCGACTTCCACCTGGGGCAATGAATATATCCAGCACTTCCCCTTCGTCGCTCTCTTCTGCCTCTTCGCCGCCCTCATCAACCAAGCAAAACCAAAACAACTCCCCGTGACCGTCATTATGGGCGTATGCGGCTACGTCACGAACTACTTCTCCACGAAAAAGCTCGGCTCCAATCAAGTCGCCAACACCGTCGGCGCTTTCACTATCGGACTCCTGGCGAATCTGTACTCGCGGGTGTGGCACGGCCATGCCGCCGCAGCTATTATCCCGGGTATCTTCACGCTCGTTCCGTCTGGCCTGGCCAGTTCTGGGTCTATTCTGAGTGGACTGGAGTATTCGGAGGCGGTTAAGAGTGGGAATGTGAGTAGTACGAATGGCTCGACTAGTAGTAGTAGTCTACTGGGATTGGGATATGGAATGATCCAAACCGCGATTGGTATTTCGGTGGGGTTGTTCGTTAGTGCGTTGATTGTTTACCCGCATGGCAAGAAGCGCAGTGGAATTTTCAGCTTGTAAGAAGATACGCTGGAGATTCTATCTGTTCTGGGGAGCTTGGGACATGCGTTTGTTTTTCTCTTGCGCGAGGGAAACTTACGTCTCTGTATATATTGCATCTGCATGTTTCTTTTCTTTGTGTCTGTTCTTTTTAGCTTGCATTTGGGAATTTGGATTCGGATCTGGATTCGGATCTGGTCTTGATATTAGCGGTACTTGCATTTATCTTCGTTTATGGACGCTGACGGTCATGCCGTCACATCATCGATATTTGTACCGTCTGTCCTGAAATTCACATATGGTACAAAGTCTGGAATAACCAAGGCCATCGTTCTACTTTAACAGCCATTTATGGAGTTTTAGCTGAATTGGTTGCGTGTTGAAGTTTGTTCAGGAAATATCAAGGTGTACTAGAGGTAGTGTCATAGAAGCCAAGTTAGGCTGATTGATATCAGAACCCGTTGATTCTGCTCTCACTTTATATATCTTTCTACATGTTGAAATGTAGCCTCTGCCGTCTTCTTCTATTTGCTTCTTCTTCCTGTTCCTCTTTTCCTTCTCTCCCAGGGATTCAGCATGCGCTGCCTTGTCTTCTGCGATACCTTTCCTTAGCGGCTTTGATGGTCCTAAGTAATATCGACTAGTAAGTAAATTGGGATTATGTCTATCTACAATCTGTCTGTTGTTCTGCAGCACTATTGGACAATCGTTAGTGCCACCCTATGTAGCCTGCTCTGTCATTGCTTTCCGTCTATAACGATACATCCGAGTCGTAGGCTGGCAATCGTTCTAAAACCTTCCTCTCTTCAGGAGATATAGGTCGGGGAGGCTCTGGGACGGAGTTCTCCGGTACATGGTGAACAACCTCCACGAATTCAACATGCAGCGATTCGTCCCCGATCATCCCGAGATCTTCCAGGCTGTCAAAGAAATACACCATAAAATCCCCAGGTAGTTTTCCGCGTGAATCATACTTCACTTTTTCTTTATGGATTCGTTCTCCTTCCTCGTCAACGAATCCGATGAAATAAGCCAACCGCCTTACAGTCTGCCCATCATACTCATAAGTCCCCTCTATCCATACAGGCATCTGGGACTTGAGAGCCGCCGAGGGATATTGAGCTGGGTCTTCATCATCAATGTGCCAGCAGGGTAGCCCTCTGAACCTTTCAAGAGAGGATATAGTTTCCTGATCTAAGTCTATGGGGAAATAGATTATCAAGACCTCATAAAGCCTTTGTGGAGGGAAAAGCGGGTTTGCGCGTATGATCACCCCATGATTAGGCATCATGAGCGATGTGCAAGGGCTTCATTCAATCTGAGAAAAAGCTCCGAGGCAAGAAACTCTTCCCTTGCTCTACTGCTTCTCCACTCTAGTGGTTGGTTAATTATTGGATATTTAGAAGACGGCACAGTATCTTCTTACGTCGAAAGAGTAAGGCGACTTACCGATAAGCAGCCACTCAATATCGCTTGATTCACGTGGACGGCCTCGGGCTACAACGATGCAGTCTTGGAGTTCGTGCATCTCTTGGAGGGTGGCAAAGAGTTCGTCGCCGTTTGGGATGGCACTATTAAGTGGATCTTTCAGCGATATCCAGTCCAGCAATCTGCAGCACTGAGGTGGCGTTTTCGCGGGAGACTGATCTTAGCCGTTTGTTTTCGTGGTAGTGTTGTCGATAGCGCGCAGGCCATTCTGTTGCTTTGAAGCGCGTTTCATTGTAGTCTTCTCAGCGGCCATTTCCCTGGCATGTGTGGCTGATCGAGTAACAGGCATGGTGAGGTGAACCAGCAAGGCGGGTGCTAAAGGAGTGTCAAGAAGAACAGTAGGTCGGTAGGGAGGGGTCAAACCTGACGGAATGAAGGTTTAGTAAGCCATGAGTGCACCAATTGAAATCGTAATAAGTCTGAATTACTATAAAGCCCCTAGCTAGCATATGTGGCTTTATATGCGGCCAGTAGTCGGGTGGGTGCCGCTCGGGTGAGTTTAGGGTAAGCGCCGCTTTAGGGTCGCGCGACCAGGGTGGGAAATGGCCGTACAAACGGCGTGGTCGTTTTGTGATGTGGCACGCCCACCAGCCTTCCCCTTTATCGGGCCTCTCACAATATGACTCTGTGGCTACCCCACCAAAAAAACCCGTCCTGTATATAGGCAGCCAAGGTCGTGGACACAGAGAGAAATCAGAAAAGAAAATAAGTAGTATAGGGATAATTGTAGAGTCAAATGAATCACCAATATTTCAGATACACAATCTGATAACAAAAGAGCAAAAGGAGCGTGGGAATCAACGACAAATGAGCAGATTATCTGAAAACGAATGTATATGAACCAGGTACTTTGACAATCAAGACTGACTTGGCATTGGTCAGTTCTTTCCTGAAATTGATAGAAGTCTTTCCCTACTGCTTTGACAATCGCTAAAAGGGGGAGGCATCTAAGAAAGGAATGTACTGTCGGGGGCATGTAGTGTTCGACGATGGAACTCTGCCTTGGAGGTATGCCTGAATATGTCCAAAGTAACAATTTGACGCCCCCTGGTCTATGACCGTATGCTGTATTCAAAGGAAACGTCCCGCGAGTAAGCCTAGGCTCTTGGTAGAGATGGCCGTAGATTTGAGAATTGATCACAACTTACACCAACAGCTTCTTGCATTATAATGACCGACCCGGCAAACCGAGAAGACATCGTGCGCGCCCTGCGACGAGATAATGTCAGCCTAGTAACAACTCCAAAGCCGATGCGATTTGGCCGAAACGTACGATTTAAGCGGCGTAATAGGGTCGATGGTGTTACTCGCAAAGAGGATGGGGAAGGCTGTAGGCATGTTTATTGCACTTATTTCATCTGCGTCAAACCTGGTTAGAATTTGCTTCTAATGCGAGTAGTCACCCATTTTGCCGAAGACAATGTTATAGAACGCCGAAGAAGAGAGAGAGAGAGAGAGAGAGAGTCAAAAGGAGTGTTAGCTACCTTGAACTACCATACTATCAGGCAACTGCGGTTGGAATGATCGGCATAAGATACCTTCCAGGTATGAGGGGTAGATATCACCGATGTACTTGCTCTTGAGAGTCGTGTACTCTGCCCAAGTCTTGAACTCTTGCATAGTAGTAAGCCTGTTCCTCCGATACGAATCGGTGCATGTAATGATGAGACGGGCATCGGTATTAGAGTTTGACTGGTCATACATGCCCGCAAGAGCAGACACATTCCCAAACTCGGCCTGGTGTAGGATTTCGGCCATGCTTGGAAAAGTTGTCAAGGGAGTGTAGACTGCGTTGAGAAAAAGAGTCTTTAGGTCAGAATACGTGACCATTGTCGGCAGGTCTGAATTTCCGACGCCGCTTAGCGGGACTGGATGGTTCTGAAGCCCACGGATAATGCCATCCATTCTTGCCGTGATGTTAGCGGGTGTTGGTCCCCAAAATGAGCATTTTTCAGGCCCTGCGGAATGGCAGAAGGTCGAGAATGTTTCAATGGCCTCGTCCATTTGGTCGACGTTGTCCGTCCAATAGTTGTTATAATATTGTTCTGCGTTCAGAACACCATCAAGTATCATTCTCCCAACCCGGTCAGGAAACAGTGAAGCAAAGGTGCTGCCGATGACAGTGCCGTAACTGACGCTATAGCACCACAATTTGGCGTTTGATGGTGACTGACCGGCAAACTCAGCCTCGGCCTCGGTAAATGTGAGCAAATCACGCGCAACTGCTGGTGTAGTCACATAATATGAATGGGGCGACTTATTCTCAACAGCATTGTTGCACCACTCGCCATAAATAGAGCTTGAATAGTACTGTTCCTCAAGCGATGTTGATGAGATATTGGTGGCACCGGTTCTGTGGAGTCGATAGAAAGCCGATCTTGATTTTGCGTCTCCCGAGAAGCAGTCGAGATGCAAGCCACTGTTGTTCACACCGCGAGGGTCAAAGGAGACGAAGTTGTACTGCTCTCCAAGCATCTGCCCGATGGTATTCTTGTATGTGAGGAGCAGGTCCACACCAGAGCCACCCGGACCGCCTAACTAAGTGTCAGTCCAGTCAAATGAAATCCAAGCCACATTGCATGATTGATAGAATTTAGATCTTACCGGGGATGAGTACAATACTTGGAGACTCGACAGTGGCATTTTTGCCAGCTAGCTTGATGAACGCAATCGACGTAGTTCCAAGACTTCTGTTTGAATAATCCAGAGGAACCTCCAGTCTAGAGCAATTAAAGGCATCGAAACATGGTGTCCATGTGAGGTCAGCTGATGGTTCAATCTAGATAGCTCGTCAGAAACGTTGAAACCCTTGGGTAAGTTGGTACTGTTAGGTCCCAAACTCACACTTTCAAATCCGTAGACTGTAGCTCGACCGTGCAAACTGTGGGCTTTCAACCCCAAGCTTATGAAAAGGATGAGAACATTCACGAGTTGGTTCATTGTGACCCGAGAGCTTCTCATTGATCTATCCACTCAATTACTTGCAAGAGCCGATACAATTGAGATATCTGGGAGCTATTTATACCAGTTAAATTTCCTGGATGGTAGTATCAAGTCCGGTAATTTCAATAGGCAGCTGTATTCTTCCCATCAACTCACAGGGCCTCTTCTTGTGTATCATCGCTTTCTGTTCCGCTTGTACGAACCAGCTAATCGATATTTTTTGGACCACCACAAAAATGAATACTTATATAGGCCCCTCCTGGTCCTTTGTCCTAAATACTTGAAGAGGAAGAGGCTTGCCTTCCTTGGCGCCCCATTTGTACGAGCTATCCAATCAGTACTTAGTACGATATGCACTCGTCTCTCGTAAGCAAGATTTCTCCCTAGGCGTCCCACCTGTACGAACTAGCCAATCAATTATTATCATGAAACGAACTAAACTATATTTAGTGGGACTAATACCAATTGGTCTAACTGGCTTTTAGCTACTTATTCAATCTCTCCCCATGCCTGAGAACTGACCTTTTCAAGTGTCCTGCTTTTTTTGTTTTACTTCGTACCACTTTCCATCCTTTCTCACGATACTGTCCATCGCAAAGGACGTGGCATTAATATCTAACAGGCATGTGAGCCGACGAACAGATCATCATCTTAAACTATCATCGGCAGGTGGTGTCTTCCGGGTCGTGGCGGCCTTGAAATTAACCTCTGGCTGATCTTAGACAGTTCACATCACTGCGATGGACGGTGTGAAGAGCAAGAACACCAAGACGGGCAATCAGGCCTGGAGAAGGAAGCCTCGCAAGTTCGCTCCAAAGTCAAGACTAGGCTGTAAGACTTGCAAGTATGTCTTGGCTTTACATATTGCTACAGAGCGAATAATTGTGTTTAGAGAATTAGAAACTGACGTCTCTTAGGATAAGACGAATCAAATGCGATCAATCTCGGCCTTCATGCTTGAAATGCCGTTCTACCGGTCGCACCTGCGATGGCTATAGTGAAATGCACCTCACTTTGAAGACTGAGATTGAATTATCTTCGGATCACAAGAAGATCAAGGGCCGCGCGAACAGCTGCAATAGTGACCACGCCTGTACCACGATCAGTGCGTACGAGTCAAAGCAATGGTACTTGAATTACCATGGCCTTATTTTGCAGAATCTCGGATCCTTTATGATCTTACCCGAAACTCGGTCAATCGAGGCAGAGGCAATCTGCTTTTTCAAGGATATTTCGATCAAGCATCTGAATGAATATCGACCTTGCGAACCATGGCGGAACACTCTCATGTTCTTGTCCCAAACAGTGCCATCAGTGCGGCATGCTGCTATTGCTCTGGCCTTGATTCACCGAAATTACCTGGATCGTCATTCTAACAGTCGAGTGTATCAACTGCCTTTCTTGAAAGAACGGCTACCGGATAAGGCTCCTTTACTTCACTATAACCGTGCCATTCAGCTTCTTCTGAACCCGGAAAGTGGTGATGGCACTAAAACAATAGCTGTCACGCTTTTGGTCTGTTATCTCTTTACTTGCTTTGATCATCTGGCAGGCGACGACGTACAAGCAGTAAAACACCTACGTGGAGGTGTGGCGCTCTCACGCACCATCGACGGCATTACATTGAAGAACCGTACCAATGAAGATGCCCAATCCTCTGATGTTTACGCGATTATCTGCCAGGTTACCAAGCAGATTCGCCGTCTTGACATGCAGGCCGTCATGTTTCTGGTCGACTGGACCCCAGCCAACATCCAAGAGACATCTATGTCCCATCTTGCACTCGTCAACAGTACCTTTGAGTCTCTCGACCAAGCTGCCGACCACCTCCAGATTCTCGTCGCTCAGGCAATAGGACTCCGCAACACAGAGCAACAAATTTCCCCGACAGGTACGATGTCGCCGTTCTCTTCCCCACTCAAGAACATCGTTCTCGGGCAGTTAGAAACGTGGTCGAGTCTTTTCGAAAACTTCGTACAACAACCCAGCCCCTCTGAGTCAGACATTGAAACTGACCCCCTCGTATCACTCCTGCGCTTGCAACATACTATCACATGGACTCTCCTCAGTGGTTACGGACCTGGCAGAGAAATGGACTATGACAACTTCCTGCCCCAGTTCCAGCAATGCGTCGCATTGGCGAGCGAGGTAGCGGCGGCGCATCAGCGGTTTTCAGGGTCTTCAAGGTCGACCTTTACGCCGGAGATCGGATTTATCCCCGCCCTTTACATAATTGGGGTCAAGTGCCGGCATCCTAATGTCCGTCGTGAGGTCTTGAGTATTTTGCGAAGGCAACCAATACGGGAGGCAAATTGGGATAGCATCTCTACTGCCAAGATTGTTGAGAGGGTTATCGAAATTGAAGAGGCTACGACTGGGGAAGAGCAAATTGTACAGTTCATGGAACAAGTCCCCGTATGGCAGAGGATCGAAGCATTGTCCTATATCCATATTCAAGAGGGAGAGTCTGCGGCCAGGTTGGATATTACGTATACATTCTGTGCCCAGGAAGGAATACACGTTGAGTCCCTCATAGTACAGTAGAACGGATAGAGAGTCTAATTATGTCAAATATTCAATAACAGAGAACAGGCTGTGTTTAAGAGCCAAAGAGAGACTGATTCCCGTCTGTACTTGTGAACGTAGCCAGTCTATATCCCAGACATTATCATCAGCAAGAGGGAATTCAGGCGAGGAGAGATTCAGGAGGTGAGTAAAAAATACAAGTATATCTTGAAACAATCCACTGATTACAGGCAAGCGCTCCGTTAGTGCCAAACCTGTCGCCAAGACAGGTTAGAACAAATCAATCGCCAGATGCGAAGGATATTCTAGAAACACAGTAATTAATTTTATCTCCAGTACAGTATTAATTACGGGAAAGAATTCTCAGCTGTCACAATTTCAGCACCAACAAGGCCAGTGATGTACCCCACGCTTTAGATTCGGAACTCAGAATCAGCGGTACGGTGATTCAATAGAAGAATCGTGCACGGCGGCCCGCCACAGATCTCTAGGTCTGTTCTTGCTCCTTCCTCCATAGGGCGCCACAGTGGCGTTTTTGATTCCCAGACAGCGAGACGACACCCAACCTTAACCAGCAGGACTCCGCGTATCGGAATCTAGTACGGTGGCACGCGTGTTTTATTCTCTTGTTGATTCCTGTTTGTTTTGCTGCTTGAATGGAAGAAGCTGTATATAATTTGAAGCTTAAGGAGTGGGCTTGAAACTCCCTGTGAAACGGTCTCTGTTACAAATGGACTTGGTGCTTCTCTCCTACCTAGTTGACACGACTTCAAACCTATAAGTAGATATATCTCTACGGAATGAAATTACGGGGGTTACAAAAACGTCTTTTCGGACTGGGATAGATAAAACGAATATAGAGTGATTGACATCCGCTACAACGCTCAAATGTACAGTGACAATGAGTTTCAGGACAGCAGTGTCAGCCCTACACCAGTGTCAGCTCCACACGCGCGTGGTCAACACTTGCAGAGCCGTCGCCCGCGGAAAGGATCCTCGTAGGTCTCTCTGTGCGCAACAAGCTATTCGCCTACCTCTTCCGCATGGTCAGCTTGACATGGCATGCCCCTGGGTTCATATTGAACCTCTCAACAAAAGGCAACTCATCCTGCAAAAGCTCCACGTTGTATCTGTTTACCACAGTGGCGACGACCTTGGTAAGCTCAATCATCGCCAGGTTCCTCCCAACGCAGCCTCTACCGCCGATCGAGAATGGCTGGACGTATTCCTTGAGATTGGGTAGCTGCTTCTCATCGAACCATCTGTCAGGGTCGAATTCGTCGGGATTGGGGAAAAGATCCGGATGCCTGTTGAGCTCCAGAATAGGGGCGGAGACGGTGACAGCGCCGGGGATGAAATAGCCACATATGGTTGCTCCTTGGGCAGGCGTCATGCGCGGGAGACCTATAGCGACGGGAGGGCGAAGACGCAGCGATTCATCAATGCACGCCCGGAGATAGGGGGACCCCATGAGCTTGTCAAATGCCGGGGTGGTCTCGTTCACAGCCGTGATGCTTTCCAGCTCCTGGCGGAGTTTGCGGAGCGCTAGCGGGTGTTTCAGTAGCAGGAAGATTGTATTTGTCAGTCCGCTGGACGTGGTGTCGCTTCCGGCGTTTAGCATAATGCCTGCTTCCGCTACCTGTTCACCATAAGGCATCGGAGAGCTCTGGCCCTTAGGGGTTTCTTCAAGTTTGGAGAAAAAGTCGAATCGGTCTCCTTTACCTGATTTGATGCGCATGTTCGCTTGATATGTGCACATGGCTCCGAAATCTCGCAGTGCTTTAGCCCCGTGTGCCCGAATAAGGCCGAAGACGTTCTTGATGAGAGAGGCAAGACCTGGCCTGGCGTGGCCCATGAAGGCAGCGTACGTAGTGGCATCGTGGAACGTCTGGACGATCTTGACGGGATAGGTCGAGCCGTCTGGTCGCTCGCAGAGCGTGAGGTCGTCGCCTTTCTCCAGAAAGCCGAATGGTTGCGAAAATGATAGGTTAGAGATGGCATCGAATGTAAAGAGATTGAACCAGTACCTAATGTCAAGGTCCTGGGCCAGCCTCTTGTCCAGCGCCCTGATGAGCTCGGACAGGACTTGGTCGATGACTTCTTCCATGGTCAGAATATAATTGTGGCTGAACATGTGGCTCATGATCCTTCTCTTCCTGGAGTGCTCAGCGCGGTCGATTGAATTGGCAACGTCGTGGTAGTCGCCGGCGATGTTGTCATAATAAGGAGCCTTTATTATGGCAGATCCATGTCCATATATATCTTTCAAGGCTCGCGGGTCCGTGAATGAGATATGATGGGGCTGGATTCGCACAACGGGCCCAAGGCGGCGGTGTGCTTTGTGTATCGCCTCGTACCGGTTGTTTGTCCAGTGATATCGGAGAGCCCACAGATCTGAGAAGCCAGCGATACCCGGGGAAGGGAAGCGCCGCAGGTTCTTCGAGTCCACGAAATATTCGATAATGGGATATAAAAGCAGGAATATGGCGGTCCCTACCGCAACGAAGTGTACAAGCGCCATGGTGATGCTGTTTGTACCGCCTTGACGAAGCCAAAAGACGGCTTTGTGTTAAGAATGTGGCAGGAACCTTGACCCAGAAGGGCGAACGTCTACTTTATGGCAAACGTTGTTGCAAAAAGTTCAACATGAAACAAAGGCCAAAGAAGGTGGCATCAATTCCTTCGTCATTTTATCCGTCGTCAGACTTGAACGCATGTCCCAGCACAAAGCCCACCCATTAGTACAATAGACAGCTTCGTCCTCCAGCATTCCAGCAGTCACCGGAACATCTCGCCGCGGGATACTCCATGCCGTTATTCCACATCGCGAGAGGACCGTAGCGATGAGTGATTTCGGGGGCTCACGGTGTTGTTTCCCCGTGGAGGAACTCGCGGCGGTGCATGTTCTGCTTGCGGCAGTGTATCGAACGAGTGACTACTGATTAGTCCTATCGTTTGGCGAGTTGTGCACGGCGCTTTAGCCACTCTACTTCCGGTCACAAGTTCGAGTGTTCACAGGTGCCAGCATGGGTCGTCTCGGTTACTACAGTTGCTCGTCGCTCGATGCCAGGTCTACCAGGAGTGTTGATCTGCGGGGACGGGGATCCACTCAGATGTCCGAGCTCTTCCCCAATGTGGGGTTGGGGTAACATATCCCCACTCCAGATTATTCTCAAACTGTCTTAGGCCGGACCAACGCCACGACCTCCTGGCGATACGATCGCCGGGTGTCTAGAGATCTCAACCGCAATAGGAAAGTCGCGCCGGGGATGGTGTGCCCGGACGCCGTTAGTCCACACGTCAGGATCGCAAATGATCCGGAGAGGCACGCTCTACATGATCCGGGGTAATTATAGCCCATAGACTATGACTGTCTTCTGAATGCCTTCGAAAACATACTTTGAGAGCTTCAGCCTGCAAGGCCGCCCTGAAGTCTGATGATACCAAGCGGGGAGATAATAATATGCCTGCATGCACCCACTCTTTAACATTCGGCCAACCCCTCTTATCATCAATACTACGGGAACTGAAGAAGCCCATTGTCTATTGATCAGCACACTCTAGGAAGTCTTCACCTTTTGCAGTATGTCTCCTCTCAGGAACAGATTTGAGAGCCGTCTGCAGGGCAAGCTCCTGGTGAACCTCATCACCGTGGTCTGCTCCGTTGGCTTCTCTCTCTTTGGCTATGACCAGGGGGTCATGGCCAACCTGATAGGTGCCGACAATCAATTTGGCAAGACCTTCAACCACCCCAATGCCCGCTTGCAGGGCACAATCGTCGCCATATACGAGCTGACGGCGTTCGTCGGCAGCATCGCCGTCATCTTCGTGGGCGACTGGCTTGGCCGGCGACGGACTCTCAACTGGGGCATCTACATGCAGCTCCTCGGGGTCGTCATCCAGTGCTCGTCCTACTCCGTGGCCCAGCTCATCATCGGGCGCTGCATCACAGGCATTGGCATCGGGATGCTTACGGCGGGCGTGCCGGTCTACCAGGCCGAGTGCTGCCCGGCCCACGACCGAGGACGGAATGCCTGCATCTTCAACTGGATCTGCATCTGCGGCGTCACTTCATCTTATTGGATTGGCTACGGATCTTCATTTCTCTCAAACCAGGCGCAATGGCGTTTCCCGGTTGCGTTCCAGGCCACCTTCAGCGTTGTGATCCTCTTCATGGTTCACATCCTGCCGGAGAGCCCCCGGTGGCTGGTTCATCACGGGTTTACGGATGAAGCGAGGCGTGTCATCGCGCGACTCGTGGGCACGAACGTGGAGCTCGATGATCCCCGGGTGCAGAGCTTGCAGGACGAGATCCAGGTCGCCGTCGCCACGGAAAGGGAGGCTGGGAATATGAGCATCAGAGAGATGTTCTCGAGCGGCAACCTTCGGAACGGCCGGCGGATGCTGCTCTGTCTGGCGGCGGGACTCGGCTGCCAGATGAGCGGTATCAACCTGATCACGCAATACGCGCCCATCATCTTCCAGAACTCTATCGGCATGAGCCGGGGTATGTCGCAGCTGGTGGCCGGCTTCAACTCGCTGGAGTACATGCTCGCGACGATCCCGCCCATCTTCTACATCGAGAAGGTTGGGCGACGGAAGGTGCTCATGTGGGGAGCGTTCGGACAGTCCATGACCATGATGGTGCTTGCTATCACTGTACACAACGGCGGCTACACGGCTGGTATCGTCGGCGCCGCCATGCTCTTCCTCTTCAACACTATCTTCGCCCAGGGCTGGCTGACCTGCCCGTGGCTGTACGCCTCGGAGATCTGCACACTCCAACTGCGAGCGCGCGGCGCAGCAATGGCGTCGGCCGGCTTTTGGATCATCAACTTCGCTGTGGTGGAGTTTACGCCGTCGGCCATCGACAACATTGGATGGCAGACGTACATCATCTTCACCGTCTTCAACGCCGTCTTCATTCCGCTCGTCTATTACTTCTTCCCAGAGACAACCAACTTGCAGCTCGAGGACATGGACTATCTCTTTGAGCTCAAGGGCTGGACTGCCGGCGCCCGCGGTGAGGCTAGGGAGCGCATCCAGATGCGGCACGACGAGGAGAATGCGCGGCGAAGGGAGCAGATCAACAGCGGGACAGAGAAGAGCATGGTTGAGCATATTGAGAAGGCGACGGATGGAAGCGCTTCCTCATCGAATGAGTCGCAGCACGAACATTAGGCCATTGTCGAGGAGATTCAGACGGGTTACCTCGTAGGTTGGCTAGAGTCAACGCAAGGATTCTGGACGACCCGAAGGCACCCTTTGTGCAGCTGACGTCTGGATGGACGATATCACACAGCCCGGGGAATGAGCTTGGCAGGATCAAGGGTGAAATGAAGAACAGACCGTGTAGCTTGACTCTAGTCTGACATTGTAGAAATAGGCTGTGGCTTTGGCACCCGTGAAATACCAATACTACCTTTGTCGTTCTCCATTGTCTTTTTTTTTATGTATTCAACGAGTGATATTATTCGACCGAGGCCAATGACGGTGACAACCCGCAAGAATCCAGTCTCGTAATTTTCCTGCTTGCGGTGCTCGGCCGATATGAGATTGCAGAAAGGTGTTTAGAAAGGAGTGAAGTCGATATCAAATTAGCCATACATTTATCGATCTATCTGTCCATCCACTGAACTGATCGCAGCATACTACATCAGGGCGACCGCCAGGTCTTGCTGGCTGGACAGTGTGTTAGACAACCACGAATGACTTGTTTAGTGAGCACTACCAGAGGGCTGCGTTCGAAAAAGCCGGCAATCGAGCAACACACACGAAGGCCCGAGGGGACGGTAGGAGGTTTACATTTCCGTCACCCCCAGGCAAAGCCACCGCGGCCCCTTCCCCAGCCATTCCTGACCAGCTACCACACAACACACATGTGCCTTTTGTCATGAGCCCCGGGCTCCAAGCGAGGGCCCAGCCGGGGATGCGTGGCTCCCGAGACTCAGATTGGCAATTCGGCACGACCGTGGGCGACCGTCTCGCCGCGGCCAACCTTTTCCGGCCAGGATCGCCCGCCTCCAACCTTCGAAGATACGCGCCACGATTTTGGAGATTTGGAGTCACCGTCCGACGCAATGGACGGGTGCAAGTATATCTAAGGCCATGGACGGCACCAGATGACCGTTCATTCTCGACAACAGTGCTCTTGCAACTAATTGCGATCATAGACTCCGACTCTTCTGCCCAGGTATCGTTGGAAATATCACAGAGAATGTCTCACAACGGCGTTGAAGGCTACGGTGCAGCCGTACGAGCGTTCAACCCCGGAAAGATGCAGTATCGATTCTTGGGGCGTACTGGCCTCAAGGTCTCGGCCTTGTCGTTCGGATCGTGGGTGACAGGTATGGGCGGTTCCAGCTTGTGGCTGAAAGCTCCCGTTTAGCGTTCTTCCCAGCTAACATTGGGGCAGTCGGGGGCCAAGTCGGCCAGGAGACTAGCAAGCAGTGCATGTTGGAGGCCTTCAACCACGGCGTCAATTACTTCGACACAGCCGAGGTCTACGCGTCGGGGGAGTGCGAGAAGGTCTTCGGCCAGGCCCTTCGCGACCTCGGCTTCAAGCGCAGCGACATAGTGGTCTCGACTAAGCTCTTCTGGGGCGGGGCCGGACCCAACGACACGGGCCTCTCGAAGAAGCACGTCTTCGAGGGCATGAACGCGTCGCTCAGCCGCCTCGGCCTGGATTATGTCGACATTGTCATGGCTCATAGGCCCGACCCTTTGACGCCGATGGAGGAGATCGTCCGGGCCTTCACCGAGATTGTTCAGTCCGGCAAGGCCCTGTACTGGGGCACGTCCGAGTGGAAGGCCCACGACATTGAGCGGGCGCACCACATGGCTGCCATCCACCACCTCATCGCGCCGGTCTGCGACCAGCCCCAGTACAACGCATTCTGGAGAGACCGGGTCGAGGATGAGCTGCGGCCGATCCTACGCAACTATGGCTACGGCCTGACCATCTGGTCCCCGCTGGACAACGGCATTTTGACGGGCAAATACAACGATGGCATTCCCGAGGGATCGCGGCTGACCGGGGCCGACGCGGCGTCGTCAGATAAACAGAACATGATCAATTTCGGCAAGGCCTTGTCAACGCCGGCCGGAAAGACCAAGCTCGCAAAGGTCCGCGAGCTCGGCGCCGTGGCCAAGGAGCTCGGCTGCACGACGGCCCAGCTCGCCCTTGCCTGGTGCCTGTCTAACGAGCAGGTCAGCACCGTCATCACGGGCGCTAGCCGTCCGGAGCAGGTGAAAGAAAACATGAAGGCATTGGATGTATATGACCAGCTCAAGAGCAACCCGGCCCTGCAGTCGAGGATCGAGAAGGTGCTCGACAACAAGCCGGCCAGCGAGGAACTCTTCAATAGATGGGCCTAGGACGACACTCGGCCATGTATCTAGATAGAAATGCAGTACCTATAGGGAGAAACTGGGAACAGATCCTCGCCAGCCAGCTCAGGGGCCGTTTTGTGCTCTAAGAAGTCCTTCTTACGTAGACATGATCAGCTCAACGAGGATAATTGACAGTACGAAATTAAGTGCAAACACGAATCGGGCTATGCTTTGAGCAAGAGACCTTTGTCTCTTTACCATAGAGTAGCTCCATGACGTGAATATATAGTCTTAACCCAGCCTTGCCAAGTGGTCGCCTCGTGTCAGGCAACCCCAATCCGCAATCTGGGGTAATTAGCTCCCGATCAAACGCGGGGTCGCCTCAAGACCGGGCCATCTCATTAGTTCCTCCGCGTGACCAGCTTTATTACTGATGTATTTCAGGAATGGTTGGCTACCAGGACATCCCGCCGCGGATGCTTCCACCATTAACCCTTCCTACCACGTATCTCTCCTGCGAGAAGGCTGCGCTATGTCGAGCCTACCAACAACACACACATTCCACCAGCTACCACCTCTCTCGAGGCACCAGCATCCAGCCACTACCTTTCCCGGCCCAGAACATGTCTCCGGCGCTCCAGTTGCTCTCCGGTCGCTCGTCAATCTCTCAGACAGCTTGCCTGCAATTGAACTCCCGGCGATCGGGCACTCCCAAGCCCTGGACAATAAAACCCCGCTCGTTTCTCAGGGTAACCGATCCAATCGGAAGAAGGAGCGGCCCACGCCCAAGGGGCCAAGGGGCCGCTTTGGTTGCCGGACGTGTCGCCAGAGACATATCAAGTGCGACGAGACCCGCTCCGTGTGCGACAACTGCACCAAGGCCAAGCGCAATTGTCTCTGGAACCACGAAATCCGTCTCATTCACGATCTTCGCTCCTCATCCAGCTCGGTCGCCCATCCCAGGACGGCGTCCTTGGCCAGCCGCGCCTCCGCCGAAGACAGCCAGCCTGCAGGCAACGTCTCCGAGGATCGCCGATGGCGCTTGAGGTTGAACATCCCCCTCATCCCAGAAGACGTGTTGCGGGATGCACCTCGAGATGGCTCCGGAACTTACGTCGCAAACCTGTCGCATTGCGAATGGATTCCGGACCAGATCTTGAAGTTTCCGCTCGAGGCGTGCTTCTTCCGCTTCTACATCGAACACGCTGGTTCGTGGCTTGACATCACATCGTCCTCTCAGCATTTCGCCCGAACTGTTCCGCACTTGGCCGTCTCCAATCCCGTTCTCCTGTTTGCCTGCCTCTCCTACTCGGCCAGATCGCTGGTGCCCAACAGCACGTTGAGCGAGCAATACATGAGCGCCTGCATCAATCTCCTGATCCCGCTGCTCTCAGACGAGGTTTTTGTGAGCACCGATGAGACGCTCCTCGCTACTCTGGTCATTCTGAGGCACGTCGAGCAGTACGCCGAAGCCCCGGATGACAAAGGCGCTCACCTGTCCGGCGCCTTTAGCCTGATCGCGTCTCAGCGCTTCTTGCCTCGCCACAATTCGCTGCCAGGTGCAGCGCTGTGGATATATATGAGGCAAGACATTCGCCAGGCACTACTCAATAGAGCTCCTCCGAAGCTTAAGCCAGGCCACGGCGTTCGGGTGGAGAACTTCGACGACGCTGTCGGCGAGAGTAGTTGGGCTGATCGAGCATGCTACCTCGCCGCCCTGGCATGTACCTTTGCCTGGGGCAGTGCGGATGAGGAGATCGATCCCAAATATCTGAACCATCTGCTGCAGTCGTGGGAGACAAACCTACCGAAAGAATATATGCCATATCATGTATCAGGAGACTCAATTCAGTATTTGGCTAGGTGGCATGGTGAGCAGCTCTGCATCTGTCTCCTTTTCGATAGTTTCATTGCTTGACTATTGACCACGGGAACAGGGGTCGCGTGGCAATTCTATCATCTAGCGCGCATACTCATGAAGATACATAATACGGAACGGCCAAAAGATATGGACTTGTTTCTGTTCAATGAGCAGATTGAGGTTGGCATTGAATCCCATATCTAGTAGATGCTGAGTGGCTAGTGGCGTAACTAACCGCAATTGTTGCCCAGGCTGAGATAACTGGACATGCCCGCATTATTTGCAACATTGCGTACTCAAGCAATGATATAGGGTGCCTTTTTAACTCCTCGGCCATACTAGGGTTTGTCGGCAGCTATTTACGGAACGAGCGTGACCAGAGTCAACTCATTGACTTGATGATCAGCATCACTCGAGAAACTAATTGGCCAACGCAAACCGACCAGGAGAGACTACTGAATATTTGGCGAACAAGGGATAATCGACAATGAAAGTGCCTTCCTTACAGTCTGTTGATGATTGGTTGCGTTAGCTGGATATGGCTACACTGTCGCCAGGAAAGGCATCACGACGGGATTGTGGAAGCAGGTCTCCCGCGAAGTATAGATGAACCAAATTTTGCAGAGAGCTCAATGTTTTACTTGCCAATCTTCCTCGGCACAATAAGTTAGGAGGAATTCTTTCCTTTATGATGCTGGAGAGATTCGCCTCATATTAATTATAGGCTACCGGGGGAGGGGACACAGCAACGATGTCGCTGATCTTCTGGCTTCGCTGGGAGATTTAGGCATTAAGGAAGAAATTCATACTTGAGAAAATCACCACGAAGATCTCCAGCGTAGAAATATTCTTTAGATTCAGGAGCTCAGACGGCCATAAATTATCAACTTTCACTGGCCGACATTGGTTAATCCACCCCGCGTCAAAGTAATCGCGACCAGCGAGGAGACCGTTATATCGGAGAGGCTGTACAAAGTTTGGCTGTAGGCTTTTCTTTTATCGCGGGCCGTGAAGTAGTCATTAGTACTTGTGTGTTATCGTAACGCTCTTCTCATTTTTTACTGCTGAAGCTCTGTTGGAGTCCCTCGAAGGCCGGCATGCAGATATTTCGTGTAGACTCTAAAAACCCCCAATCGATTTATCTTAAAATTTGATAGACTTAGGGGGTGGGGCAAGAAAATCAAGCACCACTGCCATCAATTAGAAGTCCTCTTCCTTAACGACAGTAATATATTTAGGGGGGCTTCTATATAGTACTAAAAGACCGCGGGTGGAACTGAAGGGCCACAACTGCGCGCTTAATGCGCTAGCAGCTTCAGGCTCCAGTATTTACATCTAGTCTCCTTTCATATGAATTTGTCATCCCGGTATGATTAAATAATTCACATGATTTAAATTACATCAAGCCACCGTAAGTTCTCCCCACCTCCTCAAGCTTCACATCTTCATACAGATAGTCATTAGCTTTGCCATCATCCTGCAGATTTTTCTTCTACCCCAAGGGCGCTGTTTTTTGATGCTTGTCCATGGCTTTATTTTGTCGGAAAGACGTTAGTTCCCTTTAGTCCTTGTACTCTTAATTCTCCTGGTGGTGGATAATCCTATCCATAGAACCATTTTCTTCACCACCGGGCCGAGTATTCGAACCTGTATATATTTAGCACATATCGTAAAATTACAACTGGTAAAGGACTGACATATAGGCATGATGATCTTTGGATATTTAGAACCTCAGTTTAGAGAGAATTTGAAAAAGCAAGGCTAATATTTGAGATGGCATGTTGCTGCATAAAACAAGGAGGCGAGACTCATATATCAAATTACCTCCGAAAGAGCAGTGGAGACTCAGAAAGCCAACGTCATACAGTAGCCTCTCATATGCAACCGTGCGCAGGAAGCACTGGATCATACTCAGTACCGTATATACCCCGAGAAGCCCGACTTATCCGTCCGACATTCTTCCCAAATAAGCTAAGAACACCATTTTGGTCAGGGCCTACCTTATACGGAAAGTTTCATTACGCGGACTGTTCTTCCTTTTTAGGCTTAGTAAATCCCGTTCTAAGCTCAAGACTTGCCCACCCGCTACTCTTCCCCCCCTCTCATATGTCACTTAACAAAATGTCGCCTCCAAGCTCCTGGTTCACCGAAGGTTATATGCGCCAAGCTATTCAGGTGGGCAAGGTTATCAGCCTTTCCCACCCGCAGCCAAGCAAGTGGAGGATTCTCGAAGTCCTTCGTGAACACGACGACCAGAAGTACGAAACTGCCAAGGATCCCTCGTACGCCTCTGTCGAACTTTCGTGTATTGAAGTCGAAGGCCATCATCGACGTTCGATGATGCGCATTATAATGCAAGTCCCGTATCTCGGAACGGAGGAGAAGGACTCAGTTACGCGGGCAAAGCAAGCGACGGAGTTTAGGACAGCGGAATTTCGCGCATTCTTGACTTTCGCAAAAAAAAAATCAACATGCACACCTCGCCTCCTTGGCTATCGTGAGGATCAACAGGATAGCTTGAGTCCTGTTCCCGGCGGCTTTATCACATATTACGCTTGGCAGGCTGTGCCTGGAATTCGCCTTGGGGATTACACCGGGAAGGCTCCTCAGTTCTGGACCTTAGATAAGGAAGAGCGAGAGAAAATTCGCATTGCTTTTCGGCAGATCTACTCGTGAGTGAATCGTTTAGACTTAATAGTATAATTTACTAATAAAAGCTAGGGAAATTACATTTATGGGTATCTGGCCGGATTCTGCTGCTGCTGCGAACCTAGTGTGGAATTCGGAGACTGAAACCCTGTAAGTATACGGCATCTATGATTCGTATCATTATAATTTATGGGCTAATACTCTTTGTAGTACCTGGGTAGGGTTCTGGAACTGTAGGGCCGCCCAGCCATACCCCTGGGGAGATTGGCGATTACCATCCTTCGACTTCGTCAAATCACCCGATGGGTCATGGACCGATCCAGATTGGAATGGCGATACTTCTAAATGGCAATACTAATTCTTACACTGGCTATCAAATGGCTTAGAAAATTAGCTGTTCGAAACATTCAGTCTTGGCTTGTCATCTTCTTCGCTTAGCTACTGAAATGGAACCACCATTTGACCGAAAATTGTGAACGATAAAGTAACTACTCTAATCAGCTCCGTCCACTGACTATGATTGTTTCTAATCAGTTATAATGAATTTGAATCTCGAAAATGGCAAGCTGTATGCCGAAGTGATGGCTGAAGTGCCCCCCCCCGCCGCTGAAAACAAAGCAACCGAGCATCACGCCAATCTCAACAATGTCCGCATCGGCGAGCACGCTAGTACTTACATTAAAATCTAGAAGACCACTGCGGGGCGCCGGGCATAACCTTTCCAATTTACTATCTAAGCTAGCGCCGAGGATCACCAAGCGAATCAAACCCCTGGCGCCGAGTGTATTATGCCGATCATAACGGCGTATGGTCGAGATATAAACGCAGGATTTCGACTTATATAGATAACCATTCTAGGCGTAATCATTTAAGGTAGCCGATGAAGGAGGCTGAAACATATCAGTGTTCTTGATCGCCGGCGAAAATTCTAACTTCCATCTCATGTTATGAACAACTTGGCGGAGAAAAATCGTCTGGCTGTACGTAGTGAGGACGCCGTATTTGAGTCCAAGATCGTGCATGTACTCAGCAATCTGGCCTGTTGCGTCTATAAGCTTATGAGCCTGGCCACGAATGTTTAATTGATCACTTACCAAGGTAATCCCGAAGGGCATCACTTGAGACAGACAAGGCGTCTCCCACGTCTCTAGCCAGGTCATGCCGCCTGATCCAGGGGGCTTTAACCTCTCCTGCAACTAGAGCAACAGAGCTTGAGGGTCTCCAGAAGATAAAGTCTGGTACCTTGGTATAGGCTGTCGGCACGCATTTGAAGTCTCCAAACGAGAGATCTAAGCCTTGATATTGCGCATCTAAGCTTAAACTGTGCCCAACTCTAGCGTGAACTCGAGCCTGTACGCTGTGCTCGTCGCCGCAGTGGCTATGCTCGTTCCTGAGTGGATTGTTCGATAGAAGTGGTAGTATCGGTAATTGGCTCCATTGTGTGGCGTTGAACGTTCGTGATACGTCGGACTTGAACATGGCCCATAGGCCAAGCTCTCCGACGTACCTGATTGGATGAATAGCGGAGCTTCGGGTATGGTGGGGGCCCACATTGAGGTCTGACAGGGGCTCAAGCATTAAGTCTCGCATGGTTTGTGGGAATGCCATTGTGAATTCGAAATTGAATGTGTGTGAAGCCCAGAATTCAAGTAGTCTACGTCTACGAGCTTAGCCGGGCTGGGTATTGTGCCGCGTTTTCGCGTGCCTTCCCTAACTACGTGTTTACTGTGGACATTTTTATTTTGTAAACGTCGGCTCCGCGATCCGCACCACATATTTCACCGCCGACGCCTTGCCGTTTTCGAGGTCTCGCAGTGCACCCTCGAACCCGTTTAATCCGCCCGGGCGCACTTCAAATGGATGTCCAGAGAACCACCCCTAAGCCAACCCGCGGCGGACGAATTGGAAGAACGTAGCCCCAAATTCGCGGTCTTCGATCGTCTTGCCCGCTGTCGGATCCATGTGTACTGATCCCACCATGGTCCGATCAATCTTAATCCCCTTCACGATAGTCGACGATGGTGTCGCCCTTAGATCGGTCAATAAGACCCTCTACGAAGGAGGCGCCCTTACCGGCGACGACGATTAATAGGTAAATATTAGATAGCGTCGCGAACTTAATAGCAAAGGCTCCTATAGCGGTAGCTCCACCGTATATAACTAAGGGCAATGGCTCACTGGTCGGATTCCACGGTAGTAGTAGGTTCAACTTTTGAAAAAGCCTAAGCCCCGCGGTCATCGCAGCCAGAGGGATAGTGGCGGCCTCTACTCGTGCGTCAGTGGAATTCATATGAGGTTCGCTCAGGCTCGTCTTTCTCACCTTCAAAGCTTATCTTTGCCGTTAGATGGAAAGTCGTGTGCTCCCACACGATCGCATACTCCCCAAACTCCTATATGGAGCAATCATCCCCTTTTTTAAAACCCAATGACTCCTTCGCCCACTGATTCAACGTAGCCCGCAATATCATCGCCTTGGGTCAATGGAGGGCTCTCGGGGCGCCACCGGGCTCCTTCGTTGCAGTGTCACAAATATCTGGTGGATAATGTTAGGTACCCTGGTGGGGATTTACCAACCAATTGCATCATTCAACATTGTGAACTCGGCGTAATTTGTGACTTGAATCTGGAAATGAAAATTAAGATCAATTGGGGGCCGTCCTCTTTTTTGGGTGGATACCATAGCGATATACGGAAACAGTATTGAGAATATATAAAACGGGAGAGCCAGCAGTACGCAGAAACAACGTGTCAGGTGTATTCTTGCGATATCGATCGCCTGTTTTCCTTAGAAGCAAGATCTAGTCACTAATAAATTGATCTATCCTACCGGCCCTGGCGACATCTTTGACTCACGTCAAGAGTTAGAAGGAAATACACGCACCTCAAAATGCCCAAACGTGTGTGGAATCTAGTTAATGTGCATTTGCCCCGGCTGACTCTGCATTTTGTGCCAGGTACAGGACAGATTATAAATCCTACTGGCAATCCATTCTCTGAACCTCAAATAACCGTATCCAAAGACAACACTGGGATTGATGTTTCGCGCGACATATCACCATGGCGAGATGGTCTGAAAGAATACAGAGAGCACCTGGTACAGCTGGAAAAGTCCTTTAAACATGAACTCCAAAGACTGAAGAGTCGAATCAATTGATATCGTCAATAGCCACACAAGTATTTGGGCAAGCTAGTCCACATATTCTCATAAAGATGCCTCCTACTCCACCAGTCAGTAGCTAGGAGAGTAAAGTAATAATAGGTATTCATAAGGAAAATGCACGCATTTGTACTCAACTTCCGCTAATGATCTGCGCTTCGTGGTTTGAGTCTCCCATTTTCTTTACCCACTGCTCACCTCCGATACAAAGATTCAACTTGAATAGCGGTATTTTCTACTGAGTATAGCTTTCACCAATAAGATGATGACCAAATAAAACGTTTCGAAGGGGCTGTTGAATCTCTGCTGTACTCGTCCAGACACTCACAACTTTCTCTAGCAATACTCAAGCCCTTCATTTCCAGTCTGGTGATGCGATCTGCTTCAATGTCCTTGTAGGTATTTGAACGACAGGGAATTATGGATCAAGAGACGTTATTATGAGGTAGAATTTGTCAAAAGGGTACGTTGATTACGAGGAAGGCGCCATTTATCCGATGAAAGTTTATACGCGAAAATTCTGTATAAGTATAGGGTGACACTACCAGAGTCCACCGTGCAGGGCGTGATTCTGAGATCTCAACACCAATAAAGCAAGGGGCTGACAAGATACGAACCAGTTAAGGCGTGTTTGTCGCAGCCACCATAAATAGCAAATCAGGTAGGGTAAACCAGATCGGGTGGGGCGGGTCTGCACCTTTTCTCACACGGTAGTACTACCATCCAATCAGGATTGCTGATTACTTCTACCTAATCCGGTATGCTTTTCAGTGGATCGTATGCCGCACCAACGGTTAGAAAACTTTCGAGCTACATCAGTCTGAGAAAATTGAAGTACCGTCTCAAGGAGTTACGGACTGTTGTTTCAACATACTCAAATCTCGAACATACTCAAATCTTCAACATACTCAAATCTTCAACATACTCAAATCTTCAACATACTCAACTCTTGATCGATATTAGATTAAGTGTGATAAGAGCCGTAAATACTCTTTGTTCATTTCGAGAATCTCACACTTCAGTAGTTCCCTCTTTCGACACAAATATACATTTATCGTTCTGTATCCGTAATAGCGTGTAGTTCTGTTCACCTTTCGCGAAGATCCACTATCTGGGACACCGAGTTTTCACGCGAGATACCCTAATGGTTGAACATACTGTGGCATGTGCACGACAAGTAAATTTTACCAAGTTGAGAACACTGACTATTTGAGACATCAGAAGGCACCTCCTGTCAGATTCTCTATCAATGAACTTGCGGTTTGAATACGACAACCAAATCCTCCTCGCAGAATGGAGTCTTCGCCACGACACAACACTAAAAACCCAGAAAATTTCGAAACTGCAAGTCAAGCTGAAGTGTTCGTGGGCGATCTTTCAGAAGCACCAGGCGGGTCTGACCGCGTGCAATTTGAATTTGTGAATTTGATTCCAGATACCACCGCTCGCAGCCATGCGATGAAGATGTATTGGCGCCAGAAAAAGAGCACCCGAGACCGACGAGAGAAGAATTGGAGCGATAATCAACGTTTTGTTCGACCTTTATTACCTGCCAAAGACTCAGCAGTGCAGCCATATGTCTCAGAGCAGCTGGAAGCTCAGAAGATGCCCCTGAATGATAGTACAACCAGAGCCCAGTTCATGCAAGATACGTCTTCAATGGGACTTGCGGATCAACTTTGGGAGGGGCTTCAATTTCCTTTTTCTGATACACTCTTTCGAGAGAAAGATAGCTCCCTATGCCAGGTTACGGTAGAACACCGCACACTGTTTTATCATTGTTAGTATTATCATTTGCTTATATTGGTGGATGCAAAGCAAACACTAATAGTTCAATGTCTTTCCATTCAGGGCTAGCCATGCATGCAGAAGAAATCCATTCTAACCTCGGAACAGCGACAATTAGTCCATTCAGAGATATCTGGATGCCTCTCGACTTATCAAATCCTGCCTCCTTCAATGCAATCATGGCACACGCTGCTGCCCACATATCCGAAACGCAGAATAAAGAGAGCAACTCGGAAATTTTAAGGTTCAAAATAGAGGCTATCGAACTTGTCAACAAATGGCTGGGTGATCCAACTACTTCATTCAAGGATGAGGTATTTGCGGCTGTTTTGCGACTTTTCACATTTGAGGTATGTGGGGAAAAGTCTTTCTTGCATGTGTCTGCCAACTATGTAGGCGAACCATTCGTATTGACAAAAACTATGGTAGCGATATCGGGGAACTTCTGAGCGATCCAATTTGCACAAACGTGGTCTCCTTCAAATGGTGGAAGCAAGAGGAGGCTATAGAACCTTTGAAACAAACTGGAGACTTCAGTTGGCTTTATCTATGTAAGTTAAGTGATGATAAAGCCGGCTCGCGAATATTTGATGTTAATTAGGGTCCTTGTCGACAGAGTATATCTAACGCCGGAGTCAAGCTCGTGCGGTGTTCCTGTTAAAGAGCTGGAAGAATTTTTTTGCGACGCACTAAGCCTTTCATATCGACCTCAGCCCACTCAAGCTCCATTCATTCAAAACACAAACTCCTTCAATCTGGTATCCCTGAGAAATGCCATTATGACTTTGAAACACAAACGCTTGGAAATGGAACTAAGTGATGGAGACACATTTTCAGTACATGATCCGTTGTTCCCCACCTTAGAAACCATCATCTTTATATGCATCGCCTTTTTACAAGAGAGACATGAAGGTCATATGATCATAGGGCGTATTGACCTGCTTTCCCTTGAATCTCTGCTCTTCGCATCTTACAGCAGCTGGGTGGACTCCGAAAGGATGCTTTCTGAACTTGTCTGGAATCAATTTGCTCACAGGGACCAGAACCTTCAGCTGAAGAATCAGATCGCTACAATAACAGGGTCTTTGAGTGGGATGAACCCGCTAGCACTACGTGCGCTCGAGCTGTATCTTTTGAACCGATTATTAACTTTCTAAAACCGAGACATCTGTGAAACTTCATGACTGCGTAGCACTAGAGTCCCTCAAAGTAGTATATGTGGTCGGAGCCTCTTCCATACTGTTCGAATCAACGGGGCTGAATCAAGTATCAAGTATGAAGTCACAACAAATGCATTTATCGTTTTTGATATCTTGATTGTCCTAGAAAGGTTAGTAGCTTATAAGAGTAGCTACACCGATTGCTATGATGAGGATGAATACATTGGCCTGATGTAGCTTGCTCTGATATATGCTGCTATGCGGGTTTTATGTCAGGCCTGCCGACAGCTTCGAAGTGGTTGCCAGCCCATTGAACAACCATTTCATAGGCCTCACTGAGCGAACCCCTTAAGTAGGCGTTCAAGAATATTATAGGTATTGATGAGAAAGGCCTGGTAATCCAAGCACGGTCAACAGGAAACTCAAACTAGTGTCACCTACTCCTCCCTCATGACCCAGGGGAAGTCATTACAAGCATAATTCCTTCCCCACACCCATCTCTC